GAGGAGCCAAGTAAATAATATAACGCTGAGTCTAACACTGCTGCCTGGAACAATCCTCTGAGGGAGCCTGTGACGGGCACTCAGAGGGAAAAAACTAACCCAAACAATACCCACAATCTTTTAGGTGAAATAAAACAGGAGAGATAAGAAGAGATAAAAGAGATAAACGCTGAAATCAAGAATCTTTCCAAGTTAAGTCTGAGATATCTACTTTTTGTTGACAGATCTGAAGAAGAATTAAGGTAAACTAAAATTCTACAAAAATCCTGGTGTTATTGGTTAAACTCAAACAGGTCATTATTGGTGTGGAAAATCACTGTAATTGATGGTGTAAAGGGTCACATCTACAAAGGAGTGCAAAAATAGTTAGCTGACAGGAGGTCCCATTTCTCGGGAGCCAGTTGACAACACTTCCTATTAATAGTGAGGATTGTCCTTGGGTATTTTTATAAAAGGAGATGGTGTGTATGTGAGTGTGCGTGAGGAAAGTTAGGGGATGAAGTTTTCTCAGAGAAGACGGTCAGAAAAAGGCTTGGATTACATCAGACTTTCGCACCACTGGTCTCCTGCGTCAGACTTTACCTTTACAGCAGCTCGGATCACCATCACTCCCACATCTTGTCCTCTGTCTTTCTACGTAAACATAGCTTCACTAATTCCAACTATCTCTGATTTTTCATTTCCCTCAGTCTTACACACACAAAGACACACACACACACATTATCTATTTTTAGCCCACTGTGGGGTTTGAAGGTAGAGTTGCGCCGACCCCTTGTCTCACTCCAGATCCAGGCCTTACAAGGACCCCCTGACAGACGGGGTTGCTTAGCAACCAGCAATGTTTGCATCTAAGCTGTGAAGGTCCAGCGCACGCGCGCCGCACCTGCCCTTCATCATCCTAATTATCACACTCACCATCCCCAATCCTCCTTATATCATCATCATCATCTCTGTATCACAGCTCCATGTGTGCCTGTGTGGAGTTCGGACCCTGCTGCAGTTTAAGGGGACTGTTATTAGAGGGAGTATCAGGCATCATTTCCAGCAGAAATTCAAACAACAGTGTGGAAAAATCTCTGGGAAAGGTTCAAGATTCAACTTCCTCTCTGAAGTCACACATTTTCTCAGGAGGAAACTTTAGCCAGCCGTTTAAATGTGAATAATTCAAACATTTTACTCTATACGTCCTTCTGGAGCTCTACTCTATCACTGAAGTAAGTGATTGTTCCAGTAGTACATGTCTGCAGAGCCGGAGAACCGAGCAGATCCACAGCCATGACAGATCCACAACCCTCTTTGCGCCCCTACTGGACGGAGTAGGTCATTACATTACAGATTCACAACCCTCTTTTTAACCGCTGTTCCACATCCGTTTTTGTGTCCAGAAATTTAACTCAATAAACAAGTCAATAAATAAATAAGTGATCGCAGTCATGTATTATTATCTAATGAAAATAAAAAGTCTTTAAATTAGTGAAGAAAGTGTTCAGTTCTTGGGACTCAGCCCACTTCCTTTAAAGGATTTGAAATTTATATTAAAATTAAATAAGTGCCCACAGTCACATATTTAGATATTAATCTAGATTTTATTAAAAAAAACATTTTTTTAAACTTATTTTCATCTTTTTAAGTTTTGTGTGCCTACCTATAATATTTCGGGTTTATTCTATTACTATCAACTTACATTATTATAATTATTATTTTAAAATTGTAAAACTAATTAAATCAAGATTAATATCTAAATATGTGACTGTGGACACTTATTAAATGTTAATATAAATTTCAAATCATTGAAAGGAAGTGGGCTGAGTCCCAAGAACTGAACACTCTCTTCACTAATTTAAACAACTTTTTATTTTCATTAGATAATAATATGAGACTGAGGTCACTGATTTATTTATTAACTTGTTTATTAAATTAAATTTCTGGATGTGGAGCAGCGGTTAAAAAGAGGGTTGGTGATCTGTCATGCAGTGACCTACTCTGTACAGCAGGGGCGCACACAGGGTTGTGGATCTGCTTGGCTCTCCGGCTCTGCACACACCTGTGTAAACCTGTAGTTCTGCCTCTGCTCTCTACGGTCAGTGAACCTCTTTTTACAGTTAAATAGCACCAAATCACGACAAAAGTCATCTGAAGGCCTTAAAGACACTCAGTCAGCTGTAACACACAAATAATTCATCCCGAGATACACTCTGGCATAAAAGTCACTTACTTTAAGACAAAAAGGTGAACTTACTGATACCTGCAGCTCTTTAAACGGGCTTTCCTCGCTCTCTTCGTCCTCCTGTTCCATGTTCGCCGTGTTAGCTGTTAGCATACTGACGCTGCCGTGTTAGCTGTTAGCATATTGACGGCTGGATTTAGCGGTGCGAAGAGAATCTCTCCCGTCGAAGGAATCCCCTCTAGCTCCATAATCTTCAAACTTTGTGAACCGCGGAAGGTAAAATGAACTTTAAATCATACTTATTTCACCCCTGACACAGTTAAACTCGTTCATTTCGGGTCAAAGTCGAGACTTTAAACGGTAGCGGCCGGTTAGCCTGGAAGCTTCTAACAGAACGAACGACGTCATCACCCATAACCGACCGTTAATTCAAACCGACCAATCAGATCGCAGAACCAGCAGCCAAGTTTAACGGACGATCTCTTATTTTCACACATCAATAAATTAAAAAATATGTAATTTATTCATTTTTGACACATTTGTTTTAAAAAATTAAAGCTGTATTAATTTTTAATAAGGGTTAATTACTGTTACATAATATTGTACTTTGAATATTCTTTTAAAAAATAAGGCATGAGTTTTTCAGCATTTTCATGCTTGTGTTACATTTATATTTTTACACAGCTAAGCAAAGCTAACTTAGTGATTTACCACCATATTCAAAATAATGTGAGTCTGATCTTGATGTAACTTCAACAAGTAAACAGATATTTATTCAAAAGGCAACTATTCCTGTTTGAATTATTAAAACTAGTGTTATATTCTAAGAAAGCTTTTCTGCAGGAGCTGGCATCACACAGATCATTTAGATAACATTAGTTTACTTTGGCTGCATGATAGTTGTGTTGAACTTCAGCTCAAACTTTACAGCCAAATACAATCATCATTTCAGTCTGGTTAACATAATTTCAACAAAAAGTAGATAAAACATTCAAGTTTTGATCATCAGTCTTGCTAAATCATCACGATCACACGGCTGGAGCATTCTTGGGATTTCCTCACAGCCCGTTTTGTCAGTTATAATAATGATCTATCTTTACCAAGTCACTGTTTCACCCTGTTTCCCCTCATGTCCGTTTATGCCTGAGGCCCAGTTATGTTAATGATCGGGCGAGGTGCAGAGTGAGCACGGGGATGTGTGTGACAGCGAGCTGTGATAATGACGGCAGGAGCAGAAAGGTCGGGGTCATTAGAGGGAGACAGCTGCTGGAGACAGAGTGACATGTTGGAGGGCAGGAGAGGAGCTCACACACTTATCTGATCCACTTCTGTGAGAGCTGAGAAACATAAAAATATCTGCACTGCCCGAGGGAGGCCAGACGGAGCTGAGAATATGACAGGTTTAAACAGAAAACTAAAGGTGAGAATCACAGGTGAGGCTCCTCAGATAACCCTCCTCCTGATGGGATGTTACAGTTTCAAGTATTCCTCCACCTCTGCTTTGTCGGTTTGATTTAATTAGCTGTTTATTTAATTAAAGTCTCCTTGGTGAGCAGATGTCCTCCAATAAAAAAGCAGCACTGCAAAAAATAAAACAAGATGGAAATTATTTATACTTTTCATCAACACCTGCACTTTTTATACACCCCCTCACTTTCACTTTTCATCCTGCTGATATCCATCTCTTCTCTTCTGCAGTTTAATTAAAGTTTTTGTGATTTTATCAGTTAATTTAATTATTGAGTGGTGAACGGCTTCAGCTCACGGTCTCATTTTCTCTCACATAACTGAAAAAAACCAAAATCGCTCTTTATTATTATGATGATTTATTACAGGATTGAAATGTCTGACCTCTCACCTCTTATACAAGCTTAAAAAAACCAGTTCATAACATCGTTCATTTTGAAAATTATCGCTTTTCTCAAACAAATGCACAAAACTCAGCAAAGCGCAAATGTTCTTTATGAAATACACGAAACTTCAAAACCTCTCGATAAAATCTTGAAGACGTGGATATAGATGTGTAAAAACCTCACAGGAGGACGTGAACTTACTCTGTGGTGACATCAGGACGGTATAAATTACTCAAAATAAAGTTCACAGTCAACACAAGGTGAGATCACGTGTTTGGAGAGAGTGTGGGGAAATGCTGTGAGGGACTCATTTCAAAAAAGGTAAAAATATACATGAAATATGATATATACAATATAAATGAACACGTATTTAAAACAGTTTTTCTCCAGTTTAAAGCAAACAGTGAGTGTTTTCAAGAAAGAGTCTTTTTATGAGACAAAAACATGAACTCTGACCTAACGCATAAAAACACCACCAATCATGAAATAAAGGAACTATCAGAGGTCTCGAACCTTCAACATAAACTGATTGATGACGTGATTGTCAGGCTGGTTTAACTTCTGCTGCTTTAAATACATGATAATGGTTTTATTGTTAGTATGAAGAGAGAGAGAGCAGAGAGTCATTAAACTTTGACTCATCTCAACAGCAGGGACTCACACACTCACTCACACACATACACACACACACACACACACACACACACACACTCTCTCACTCTTGGTCCAGTTCTCTGTCATTGGCGTCCTCTTGTTAGTAGCACATTAATCAAACACAGTAAAATATCAGGTTAAAATAACATGAGGAGTATAATTTCATCTTTTACAGAATGGCTTCAGTTAAACTTCCTTCATCGTGTCGCCAGGATAAAAAATGTCTCTCTGATGTAAGGATCACTATAAAATATGTGTGTGTGTGTGTGTGTGTGTGTGTGTGTGTGTGTGTGTGTGTGTGTGTGTGTTGAGGTGAGCTGAGTGTCCTATAGGTTGCTGAAGAGTTCGTTCTTCTTGGTCCAGTCCATGGGCGGAGCTCTCTTGTTGGACCGTTTCTGGTGGGCGAGCTCTTTGACCTGCTGCAGCGACATGTTCAGAGCCGGGATGGCGTCTGTGATCAGACCCTGAAACGCCAAAAGAACAGAGACGAAGAAGAAAAAACATCAGTGTTGTCTGTTTTCTCCGACCGCTCCTCTCCTCCGACGCCTCTGTGGGAGGGGTCAGTAAAATGACATGTGAGGGTCGCTGCGTGATGGGATGTCTGCTGTGGCGTACCTCAGGTGGGGTGTTTGTGGGCGGGGTTGTGAAGGAGGCGTTGGACGAGGCGTTGGATGGCGATGGACTGACTGACAGCTTGGAGTCTCTCTGCGCCTCTTTGACCCCTCGACCGTTCACCTGAGGACAGGAACAGGAGTGGAGATGGAAAAGGAGATGAGTCTCAGTCACAGGAGTTAAACTCTGTGATGATGCCGACAGAAATCTAAAAACATCTTTTTTTGGTTTTTAATAAAATAGTTTGTGAAGTTATTTTTGAAGCTTGTAAGTGGATGAATTCTCTGTTGTTGTGGTTTCTTTGCTTTTCTGGAGGTCAGTAGACTATAACGTTGACCACACAGGAGAGGCTTTTATAATCAGTCTGTTTCTGCCTGTTCAGTCAATATTCAACATGATTCTTGATTTAGTGATTTAGTGTGAAATGTTAATATTGTGTAGAATATTTGGTGTTTTCATGACTGAATAAACTACATCATAACGTTATTCTCAGTGAATGTGGTTTCATATGTAGTATTGTAGAAACCATTATTAGTAATGCAGTAACAGCACATTTGAAGACGTCTGACTGTGACTGAGGAGTATTTCTGCAGTTTCACCACAGGAGGGCAGCCTTTGATTTCAGTTGATTTCACTCTCTCACAGCTGACTTTAACACATGAGAGGAATAAAATAACAGAAAAGAGAGAAAAAATGAGTCCCTAACGATAATGGAGGAATATTATCTGCTAGTTTATAGAAACCAAATCTTAAAATCTCGCTCTACTGAAGGTTTGCAGGTTGTTTTGAGATCTTTGCATGCTTTGACATTTTACTTTTCAAAACAGGCCTTTTATGATTAAATGAACAATAATAGAAAACTCATCTGTGTTTTTTTATTCTTGTGTATTTAAAGAAAGTGTCTGTAAATCAGCCGTAATGGTTCCATAGCCTGATGGATTGAAGTGCCTGTTTATCTGCAGAAATCACATCAGCAGCTCAGAGCTTCTCACTCCTCAGTCTTGGGGTTTGAACTCCTCTTAGAGGCGACTCCTCCCTGACCTCTGCACCGCCCTCCCTCTCAGCCTGTTACGCAACAATAAGTGGAACATGGAACTTCTCTGCTGCACATACAGTCCTGAGGAACGGGAAGCTCGGGGTCGAGCCTGTATTTGCATATTTGGCTGAAAGCCCAGGAGGAAGGCAGCGTCAGTGCACGAGTTTACAGACGATTTCATTTGTGTTTCTGTGAATATTAGAGGTTATTTTTATCCAAAAGACAGATTTTCACCCTCGAAAAAACCCACTATCTCCTCGTTCTCTGTATTTGATTAAATTGGAGATCTGCAGTGACTTGTTCGGAGTTATTGGTGTGAGAGAAAATATGAAACTCTAACATGAACAAACACAGGAGTGGAGAGCGGAGCTGTTTTTGTCGGGGGTGTTTATTATCTGCAGAAATTAAGTTTAAAAAAAACAAGTCCTGGTTTTACGGGGGCGGTATGTGCTGAAATACTTTTTAGCTGAAGTTAGAAACTCAGAGCATCCACTGGTTGCCTGGCAACAGTTCAGCAGAGACATAATTTAGTGCTTCAGTCTTTTCGTGGTTATTTGTAGTTTCAGAGCTGTGAGAATAAAATCAGCTGTGATCTGTCCACAGAAGCGTTTTAAGAGCTGAGGCTACGAGACTGTTTGTGAGAGTTTTTCTTCAAAACGTCCTCGAGACGTTGATCTTCGGTCTGATAGAAACTGTGAGTTTTTCATCTGATTTCAGGTTAGACCGGCCTCAGGTGCGAGGGCCCTTTGGTGCTTCCTGCCACCACCATAAAGTAGATTTTCCTAATAATAGTCCAATTATAGAGTGTGCAGGCTTTTATTTTGGAGGGTCAGCTGGACGTCACCCTCACACGTCATCAGCAGCAGCAGAGGTGAAGTTTTTATGAACCTCTAAACTGATTTGATCCCTCAGTACGAACGCTCCGTCCTCTACAGCTTCTAATACCTCAGAGTGAACGGCGAGCTGACTGGGCGCGGTTCTCCACAGTTCCACACAATGAGAGCCTGAGCGTTCAGACAATAACAGGAAGGTCGGTTCTCCACACGCCTGTGATTAAGAACCGACTCCAGCAGCCTCTCTGATGTTACAAACCACACCTGAGAAAAACGCTGTCTGTGTCTTTAAACGCTGTCTGACCCTGACCTGACGGACGTCTGCGCCTCAGTCCAGGAGATAGACCCCCTCTCTACCTCTCTGATCATAGTTAGACCTGGATCAGGGGGTCCTGTCTATGAAAGATCTTGAAGCTCGTTTTCAGCTCGCCGTCTCTTACCTTCTCCTCCATCCCTCCGTTGACCACAGGCTCAGGTAGCGGACCTGCAGACACAAAAACACAAGATTCAGTCATGTCCCCGTCCGTCTGTCAGGACTAACATCTGATCATGAGTCTCCTTCGCTCCTCTCTGACGGGTCAGGAGTCCCTGCAGCTCAGCTTTCAGCCCACCACCATCATCTCTTACTCTGTTACAGCGCGGGTACGAGACGCTCATCCATTATTCACTCCTGATTCATCTCCGACATGAAGGTTCTGCTCCTGGTCTTCTAACAAACCCAGACCCTCTCTCTACGCCTCAGAGCATTCAGGACACACACACACACACACACACACACACACACACACACACACACACACACACACACACACACACACACACAGCTTACCTTCCATCCTCTGAACCTCCACACACACCAAACTAACGCTGATGAATGTTGGGGAGCAGCTGGTCCTCTGAGTTAATCTGAGGTTGGACACTTCCTCAGGTGACTGCTGTGTGTGTGTGTGTGTGTGTGTGTGTGTGTGTGTGTGTGTGTGTGTGTGTGTGTGTGTGTGTGTGTGTGTCCCTGACTCTGATGAGAGGAGCCTCTTCAGGTCCTAATTCAGCTCCTGGCTGAGAGGACACTTGGACCGAGCGCCTTGGAAACCAAACAAAGGTGCTGGCCGCGTGTGTGTGTGTGTGTGTGTGTGTGTGCTGAAGTTAAGAGTCAGTGCAGGCAGGTGTCCTGTGAGTGGGCAGCAGATGAAGCGTGGGCCGTTACCTGGGAAACACCTGAGTGGAATCTCTGTCAGCAGTTCTTGTTTTAATCCTGAAGAGTCTGGAAAGTTCTCGTGTTTCTGCTCCTCCATCGACCGTCTCTCTGTTCTTTAAATCTTCAACTCTTCATGAAGACCTTTATTTTGAAATGAAGGACTCTTATTTTGAAATGCGGTTCAGTGTTTCTCCCTTCACTGTCTCCTGAGAGCTGAATAACCCCTCAGAGCACAGACATGAACATGTGGGATATCTAGAATATAGAAACACCTTTAACTCTGTGGTCTCTCTGTTGCCATGCCAACAGAGGGGTCTTTATATAAGTGGTCTCATGGTGCACTTCTGATAACCATGCACCCCCCTGAGGTCTGTCTCTGTAGGAGTTACAGAAGCCTGAAGGTGACACCCTGTAGTGGGGCTCCCTCTAGAGGGAGAGGCGGGTAACGCAGGACTGGAGGAGCCAATCAGAGACACTCGTTCCTGCGTCTGGATGGACCGTGTTTGTTTTTATTTTGTAATCTAAAGGCTCTCTCGTAGTTTTTCATCTTTATACTTGAAGTTTATTTATTTAGTGTTGATTTCTGGTCTGTCGGTCGTCTCGTTTAAAGAAATCAGCCGCTTCGCTTCGAAAGCGTCTCAGTGACTCATTTCTGTGTTTTCTCAGAGAAGAGGAGACAGATCTGTGTGGGATCATCTGAGTCATGAAAAGGTAGAACTGAAACAGGAGGAGGAGGAGGAGGGAGATCCAGCGGAGAGACTTTAAACCCAAAGACCAGGAGGAGGACTTTAGTCTCTACAGTTTTTATCAAACAGCTGCAGTAAAACCACAGACTGCTTCTCCCTGAGGTCGTCTCTCACCGGTCAGGTGGTCCGGGGTCGGGGCCACTCGGCATCTCTTGAAGAAGGCGTCTGTGTCGGGGTCCACCACCAGCAGACGGGTCACGTTCCCTCCCGATTTGATGGCGGCTACGACCTCCGAGTGTGTCTTTCCTTCCACAGGAATCCCGTTCACCTGAGAGGACAGATCAGGGTTAGAGGACAGGAGGAGACAGTCTTTGTCCTCTTACTGTCTTCAGATCACTCAGTTTAAAATAATGGTGAACATACTGGTATATAATCTCTTTATTTTTACTTATTTTATCTCTTATTTACTTCCTCTTTATACTTTATTTACACTATTATTATTATTATTATTATTATTATTAAAGTATTTATGAGTCTGAAAACCAAATCCAGGATCAGAGTCTGCAGGTCAGTGATGGTTTAAAGAGTCCGGCGAACACCAGCAGAACCAGAACCGCCTGATCACCTGGTTATAAACCAGTTTAACCAGTTTAACCTGAACACAACGTTATCTCCATTTTCTAGATCAAAACAAAAAAAAAAAACTTTGATTTTTTCTCATTATTTTAATTTATTTGACTGTAAATAAACCAGAATAAATGACATGAATTTAAACAGTAAAGCTGTCGTCTGTCATCTGTGATTGTTTACATCCAGGTTGTAGAGAATTAAAGGAATTTGGCAGCAAGCATAAACTGAGACTACAGCTCCACCTAGTGGTGGGAGACCTCCATTTCAGACCTGTATCAATCAAATGATCAATTATCTGTTTGTCCAAACACTAACTCAGTTTAACGAACGACCACAGCTGGACCTAATAACCATCTACAGTCACATGACTTTGAGGTTCGAGCAGCACAGACTGTTTTTATCTCCGTCACGTTTCTTTTCTCTCAGTATTATCACACACACACACGCACACACACACACGCACACACTCACACACACAGGTCTTTTTTTCAGACTTTAATCCTCGGGGTTTTTTCCTCGGTGTGTTTTTCACCGTGTGACAGCTGAACTCTGACGCTCAGAAACTCGCCATGTCAGGCGGCTCCTCCAGCACCAGCTGAGCGCTGTGGGATAAAATCGCCATGGGAAAGCATGTGAGCAATGTCTCCAAGTGTGTGTGTGTGTGTGTGTGTGTGTGAGTGTGTGTGTGTGTGTGTGTGAGTGTGTGTGTGTGTGTGTGTGTGTGTGTGTGTGTGTGTGTGTGTGTGTGTGTGTGTGTGTGTGTGAGAGTGTGTGTTTAGGTCACAGGGTGGAGCTGCACGTCTAAGCCGGGCCCTCAGAGGAAGCGGGACAATAGCTGCCTGGCAGTAACAGCGGTAACAATGGCCGTCCGCTCCCCACAGAGCCCCGCTCCTCAGTGGGTGGTGAGTCTGTCTGGGGGCCTCAGGGGGACTAGAAACCCCGAGCTGGACCCTCAGACAGACCCAGACCCTGCCCTCCTCCTCCTCTCCTCCTCCTCCTTCTCCTCTTCTCCTCCTCTTCTCCTCTGAACGTCCGTAAACTCCTGAATAAACCCACTTTTTCACCCGCGCTCTTTTTACTTTTACGGCTCGTTTGCTTCGGTCTGAGTCGGTGAAAATGATCTATTGTTGGATTTTCTCTCTGAACTCTCCGCTCACACTCTGCCGGGTTTAGATTTGGTCAGTGACCCTGTAATTTCAGAAGAACGTGTCAGGGCTGCGGCCTCGCTCTCCTCCTGTCCTTTGGCTTTTCAGGCGCTCATGGAGACACAAACTCATCCTGTCGGGTTATAATTATAATCTGTGCTGTTATTATAAAACTGAAAAATTACAGTCACGTCAAAATAAACTCCTCAGATTCGTCTATAAAGACGTTTTCAGAGAAGCTGAAAGTCACCATCTGACACAGTCACCATTCTCACCAAAACACCGCTGAGTCACCCCGGCAAACCTCCAACAACATGACTCACGGGTCGACTCGGACCGGGAGGACGTCGAGCGTTTCATCAAATAATCAGGTTTGTTAAATGTCGGATTTCAGGAACAAAAACACAGAAGTTTGTGAGTTTGTGAGTCAGCGCAGAGCGGGGTCACACGAAGGTCAGTGACCGTCATGACGGAGGAGATCCAGACCCTCTAAGGTCTCCAGAAAACCCTCAAACGTTTGCATGTCGGGTGGAGGACTGACAGTCTGTTTCCCTCCTCTCCTCCTCCACCGAGTCGGTTTGTCCTCGCTCTGGTTCGACCACATTTAACTAAACCGTGTCCGTCTGAATCAACCAGAGACTGTCTTTGTTTGGACGTCTGTCTCCGCAGACCTCAGACGGTTTAAGACTCTGAGGTCGACACAGTGACAGTCACACCGCGGTCCATGCAGGATTAGAGACCTCACACAGCGACTGTTTGTTCACATCACATTCCTCTGGATTCACAGTGAACTCTGGGAAAAGATCGGACCTGGAACCGAGAAAAACACGAACAGAATCACTGTTCACGCCTGAATGAGTCAGATTACATTCAGACGTTTCCTGCTCCATAATCTCAGGTGAGCTCAGGAATATTTCAGATTATTTTAGAGATTAGGAGGTTAAAGGTCGTCCAGAACTGAAAACCGCTCGCCTTTAAGTATCGTGAAAATCCGTCTTTTTAACCACGTGACCCTGAGCTGCTGGAGTCCAGACCTTCACCAGTACCTGAACGATCCGGTCTCTGGGCTGCAGGCCGGCCGCCTCTGCAGGGGAGTCCTGGTCCACGGCTCGGATGTACTGTCCCGGCCGCGCCCGCTCGCTGTGCAGGTTAAAGCCATACCCGTTAGAGCCCCTCTGGATCACGCAGAGACGAGGCCTCAGCTGGATGATCACTTCCTGTTGGAGAAAACAGAGAGAGGAGTTATCAGAGCGTCTGCTGCAGGGACACGCCTGAACACCTGCGGTCACTTCTACCTCCACCATGGGCGGGTGTTCAGGGAGAACCAGCGGCACAAAGATGACGGACAGCTCCAGAGACTCGTTCACCATGAAGATGAAGCCCAGGTTGAACATGCAGGTATCTGCTGCATGCTGAGGAGCATCAGGAGTCCGACTGAAGCCGCCTTCAGCTCCACGTGACGCCCACTTCCTCAACAGGAAGGAAGAGGGTCTCTGCGGCGTGTGATTGGAGCGCCGCAGGCTGGGAAGGATTTATCGGGAAGATTCAGGGAGGGGGTCGACGGCCTTGCAGGCTCGAGGAAAGGACCGGTTCCGGTGTGGTCCTCGGCCCTGCCTGCTCTGGACCCTGAGGAGGACAATGGGAGCTGGGCGTGGACCTCTGACCACCCTCCCCCCATCGCCCTGGGATGGCAGGAAGAGTGAGAGCGGTATTGTCATCCAGGAAACGGCGCCGGCTCCAGTCAGGACCGCCCTTCCTCTGAGGGACCAAGACTTTCTTTATTTAGTCCTGAGAGGAGAGACATCAGGACGACCAGGAGGGACAGCGCCGCTCAGAGCGATCTGTGTCACCGTGACCGAGTCTGACCTGAGCCGCTGTGAGGCCCCGCCCCCTCAATGAAGAGAGTCTATAAATAATTCAGAGAGAGGACTGAGGAGGACTGACGGATCCACACCTGCTGATCCGGCTCTCCTGAGGTTCTCCCTCACCTCTGGTCCTCAGAGACCAGACTCTCCATCTCGACCTTCAGAAGGTCTCCACAGGGTCACCGTTTCACTGTGAACGAGGTCAGAGTCCGGCCCCGTGAAGACCACGTTTAAGACCTGCTCCTTCAGCTCCTCAGGGTCTGTCAGCGAGTCTCTCATGGCAGAGCTGCAGGGCTGGGTTTGGGAGATGAAGTCGGGCTGAAGTTAAGCTGAAGTTGGGCCTAAGTTTGGCTGAAGTTGGGTTTAAGTTACGCTGAAGTCAGGCCTAAGTTGGGTTTAAGTTACGCTGAAGTCAGGCCTAAGTTGGGTTTAAGTTACGCTGAAGTCAGGCCTAAGTTTGGTTTAAGTTAGACTGAAGTTAGACTGAAGTTGGGTTTAAGTTGGGTTTAAGTTGGGCCTAAGTCGGGCGTGTTTCTCTGTTCAATTTCTCTTTCATGTCAGGAAGTTGAGTGAGCGGTGAGGGAAGCAGATTGAGGGAAGACGTGTCAACACTTCCTGTTTAACACTTCCTGTTTAACACTTCCTGTTTAACACTTCCTGTTTGGAGGACAGAGCGAGTTCACCTGAGAAACCACGTCTGTGTTCACGGAGAGAAAAACCCACGGTGACGGAACAGAGGGGTTTCAGACGGGGATCAAAGTTTTTCCTGTTAATGAGTCAAAGCAGATAAAACCGCTCAGTCCTGGTCCCTCAGTCCTGGTCCCTCAGTCCTGGTCCCTCAGTCCTGATCCCTCAGTCCTGGTCCCTCAGTCCTGGTCCCTCAGTCCTGGTCTGCTGACGCTCTGACAGCTGTCAGGATCTCTCCTCTGGTTGGCTGATCACTAACGTCCGTGTGTTTCACAGACGGCGCTCTCCTCTGTGGTGCGTTCTGTGTTTCCTGCATGTTCAGCAGATTCCTCAGATTTCAGCCCAGAGTGGAGATTCTTCTGCCCTCCTCCACCACACAAACCCTCCTCTGTTCTTCCTGCCACAGCCTCTCTCTCTCTCCCTCTCTCTCTCTCTCTCTCTCTCTCTCTCTCTCTCTCTCTCTCTCTCTCTCTCTCTCTCTCCCTCACCCTCTCTCTCTCTCTCCCTCTCTCTCTCTCTCTCTCTCCCTCTCTGAATCTCTCTCTCCCTCCGTAAAGACGCCTCATCTCTACTCAAGTGTCCGTGAATCAAACCCAGAGTCAGCTGATTGTTGGAGAAGATGAATCTCCTTCAGGCTTGAACTCAAACATGTCTTCAGATCTTCGGTTATTCTGACAGAAGAGCTTCGACGGCTCCTCCCACATCTTCAGACGTTGATTTAAACACACCTGAGCAGGTAAAGAGGAGCCGTCAGAGCTCTGAGTGACCACGGTGACGATGACGATGATGATGATGATGAAGATGATGATGATGAAGATGATGATGATGAAGATGATGATGATGATGATGATGATGATGATGATGATGACGATGATGATGTTGATGATGATGACGATGATGATGAAGATGATGATGATGAAGATGATGATGATGATGATGATGATGATGATGATGATGATGATGACGATGATGATGATGATGATGATGATGATGATGATGATGGTGATGATGATGACGATGATGATGATGATGTTGATGATGATGACGATGATGATGAAGATGATGATGATGAAGATGATGATGATGATGGTGATGATGATGATGTTGATGATGATGACGATGATGATGAAGATGATGATGATGACGATGATGATGATGATGATGATGAGAGTTTCTGCAGGACTCTGATGATCAGCTCTGATCACAGATCCTCTCATGACTCAGTCCATCCAGCAGACTCCCACACACTCAGCACCGAAATAAAAACAAGATGATGACCGGCTGCAGAGACCTGCTGCTGCTGCTGAGGATGAGGAGGATGATGATGAAGATGATGAAGATGAAGATGATAATCTGTCAGATTCACAATAATCTCTGCTCCTCTCTCAGACGAACATCTGAGTTTCTGTCCCTCTTGAGGAGACTTTAGAAAACCCCAGGATGACCCCTGAGGCTCTCCTGTTCTTCACTCAGAGTTCATGTTTCTGAACTTCTCCTCCTCCTCTTCAGAAACGTGTCTGATGTTCCTCAGAAGCTGAGATCACTCTGAGACAACAGAGTCCAGCTTCACAGACGACAGAGGACCTGAAGAGACCCTGAGGGAACAGTCTCTGCAGACTGAAATAAACTCTTGAATCCTTCATGAAGACGTTTGTAAAAAAGATTAAAGGCAGAAAATCAGAATCAACGTCTAACTTCACCGTCCAGGTGAGTCTGAAACTCAGGATCCTGTAAAAACCTCCATCAGGTTTATCGCTCAGTCTGTGTGTGTGTGTGTGTGTGTGTGTGTGTGTGTGTGTGTGTGTGTGTGTGTGTGTGTGTGTGTGTGTGTGTGTGTCAGAGCCAGAGTCTAGATGTGAAAATTCAGGCCTTAAAAAATGAAACACGAATAAAAAACTGAAGTCAAAGTCGACGGAGTCATTCTACGGTGGCCCTGAGGGTCAAAGGTCAGCGTTCAAAAACAACAAAGAGGGATGGAAGAGCAGGTTATTCATTTACACACAGAAACACACACACACCTGCTCCTCTCTCCTCCTCCTCCTCCTCCTCCTCCTGCTCTCTTCTCAGTTTTGTGAAATTGTGAGTTTTCCCCTTCAGGGCCACCGTACCTGCCCTTCTGTCTCTGAATCAGTCACTTCTGTTTTTTCACATGCTGCAGTTTCCTAAAAACAAACACCTCAGTGACGTAATTACAGCTGAATCATCCTGTAAACTCCTGAGAGTCACAAACTCACAAGTTAAAGTCCTCCTGAACACTATTTAACTCTTTATCTCTTTCTAACTCTCTTATTTACTCTCTTTTACTCCCTTTAACCCTCTTTAACTCTCTTTTCCCTCCGTGTATCTGTGTGTCTGATCAGACAGCCGCTCTCCTTGATTCAGCCTCTTTAACTCTCTTTTTTACTCTCTTTTATTCCCTTTAACTCTCTCTAACCTCCGTGTATCCGTGTGTCCGCTCTCCCTGATCCATCCTCTCTAATCTGACTAACCTGAAGTGACATCGGCTCGGTCGGCGTGGTTACTGCGTGATGACGGGACAGCCCGCTCGCCGTGTGACTGTCGTGTGTCTGTTTGGACGCTCAGAGTTAATGTTTGATGGAAACTTCTGTTTGAACCAACTTTGCTGCTTGTTGTTCGGAGCGAACCACTCTTCAGGAAGGACGGGGGTGTTGGATTTCAAACTGGACTACTGAACCGGCTGTGAGGCGGGCGGAGGGGCGAACAAAGACCCCTACTGTCCCCCCACCTCCATGTCAGGACGGGACAAACCGGAGCTTCTGCTGAGGGGTCCCGTTACAAAAGAGTCTTTAGGGGGACGGAGACGGAGACAGGAGAGGAACGTCAGTCATCACAGCAGGGAGCCGAGGTCCTGAGGGTCCTCTGCTGCACCATCTTCAGTCTCCTCAGACCCTCCACCCCTGCAGACCTGAGACCTGCACAGACCAGGTCCTCTCTGACCTTTGACCCACAAACACACTCGGGTTTCTGCAACGTTTCACTGCAGTCTCCACAGTCAGGCAGAAACAGTCAAACTCAGAGTCCAAATATAGATCTGAGGATTATGTAATTGAAGAGTGAGCCACAGATGAAGCTCGCTCTCGTTCCTCCTGTTGTTGTCAGTGTGGGACGAGGACGTGAAGCTCCAACAGGGAGAGATTCAGAGTAACGACACAGGAGAGGTCATGACCTTCACTGAAATATGATGTATGAGTGTGCTGCATGACAGTAAAGAGGTCCACGTTTACCCAAGAACTCCGGACCTTCATAGACCACATCAGTCCTGCTCCTCACCTCAGAGGGCGCTCTGACTCTCACCGTGAGTCATGACGGGATTTTTCTGACAGTTTATATTTTTAAAGAGAATCTGAGATGATTTTCACCACAGAAACACGTCTTAGACTTCATACTGTCCTGCTGAGTGACCGTGTGTTTACCACCCTGATCTAACCTCCTCCTGAGAGGAACCAGCCGCTGAAGTCTGAGGAACAAACGAGTGTTCGGGTTAGAAAACTTCTCCACAGGTTCAAGGATTCACTCAAACATGAGGAGAAAAGACCAGAATCAGACGATCAGGAGGTGATTCAGTTTATCTGAACTACAGCAGAGAGCAGAGTCATCCTAACATGACCTTTGAACTTCAGTCAGTTAATACAGTGACGACTTTCTTCAAGACGTCCTCACTCCCAACATCAGGACACAGATTTTGGTACGAGGTAGAGCTGGGTGATAAAATGATATTGATCCAAAATTAATTTCCCTCTATATCAATATCAAACATGATCAATATCCTTTTCAATCGTCGTCATTCTGACATGTTTTGGTCGACTATACGAACAGCCAATAAAAAGGGGCGTGTCTCCGGGTCTGAACCAATCATGTTCTGAATTAGAACCAAGTATCAACCAACTGCAGCGTCGTAGCAGACAGCAGCTCCACCCAACCATAGCACTTTAACAGGTGAAGCCGACAGCACTGTTGGTGAGAAACAAAGAAAATGAGTGCTACCCCCGACAGAAATGACCATGAAGGCTCAACAGATGACCACATCAATGTCAACCACAACACTGGCGTTAGGAAAACGTCGGTGGTGTGGAGGTATTTTGGTTTTTGGAGGTCGGACATGAAGCAGAGTAATGTGGACTGTAAATTATGTCGAGTACATGTTCTCACAAAGTCGGGGAATACCTCAAATCTTTTTCACCACCTGAAGCAGCGCCACGCCGCAGAGCACGCGCAACGCCAAAGGTTACAAACCCCGAGAGGAGCGAGGAGCCCATGGCGCCTGAAACAGACGACCATTCAGTCGGCTTTCTCTAGAGCGACGCCTTACGACAAAACGCCAAAGAGACACAAAGACCTCACAGATGCAGGAGATTATTGTGTTGGAAAAGACATGAGACCAAGAAACACTGATAGATTTTTAGATCCTGATATTGATCCATATCGACTATCGCCCGGCCCGAGTATGAGGTGAATCTATGAAGACCAGAAGACGAGGACAGACGCACCTCAGCTCTGCCTGAGACAAAGACTACAGCCGGACCCGTCAGTGATCTCTCACAGCTGGACCAGATCTGTAAACAGAGTTTCACCAACATGGAGCTGAATAAACTAGTTTTTATCTCCCATAGTTCTCCCTCAGACTCTCATGTATCTGCCGTGTTTCACTCAGAGTCAAACACGGAGCAGAGACAGAGTCAGCTCATGAGTCTCTGCTGGACTTTCAGTCTCCCTCACTTCTTCACGTCTTCACTCGCTCTGTCCTCATGGTACTCATGTTTGGCGTCTCCGTCTCACACGATGGGAAGGGAGTTGTACGGCGGGGGGTGAGTGAGTCTATTTCAGGGTGAGCTGCGACTCATTTCCCTCCGCCCCCCCGGCAGGGCGCGGCCCCCTCAGCTCATTGTCCGGTCAGGGTGGTGAACCTTCAGCTGAACACAGAAGAGGGAAATGGAATGTGGTATTGTGGAGTCTCCGTCCAGGATCCCATGAGACCCAATCACCAGAACCCCACTGCGCACACACACACACACACACACACAGAGGCAGGGTTCAGGTTCCAGCCTGACCTGGGCCACAGTACAGTGGTTCTGTTGTTTGGACCGACGTCACAGACAGAGAGATTTGATATGCAGTGACGACTCCACGACAATACTGCCCCCCCATCTATAACAGTCTGGACCCAGCTGGTACCTCTGCCATTTTATAACGTCTGACATTTAGACGACGATATTTTATAACTTCTGATTTTAAAAAGTCGCTCTTTGGTCTGAAAGTTTAAGACCTTTTGTTGCTCGTCTCCTTAAATCTCATCAAAAGGCTGAAAAGTGAAGAAAAACCCCAAAAAACTGCAGTTCTTCAAGGGGCCACTAGAGGCTGCCCCAAAAGTGAGTTCATCCCCATAGAACCACATTTTAAACATCAGAAATAAACATGAAACCGTTCCTGAGGATTTCAGCGATCCTCAGAGGAACGGAAAGAAGTCGGTGTAAATTGACACGTTAACTTGAATGGTTACGATCAGCTACGATCGGAGGATACGACCTTTTAGGAGACGATCAGGATGAAGGTGGAGGTCGGGGGTTAGAGTTTTGTTAATGTAAATATCAGACAAACCGTCGTCTCTCTGAGATCTTTTATCAGGTTAATAATAATAACTGGTTTACTTTCACTCATTATTCCTGAAAACATCTCTGAGCTAACTCTAACACACACACACACACAAACACACACACACACACACACACACACACACAGCTGCTGCAGAGAGAGCTGCTGAACAACAGAGGAGGTGTAATGGATGCCTGAGAGCTGAACACAAAGCAGAGCGTGAAGAGAGAGGGTGTGTGTGTGTGTGTGTGTGTGTGTGTGTGTGTGTGTGTGTGTGTGTGTGTGTCTGTTGTAGTTGTTGTCGTCCTCTGGTCTGTATCTGATAAATCGATGACTGTTACCTGACATGTCCTTTTGATCAATCATCCTGTGTCTTTGTGATCATTGATTACGGCAGGATCAATCAGGAGATGTGGGTCATGACAAATCTAATATCAGTGAAGTTTGTTTGTTTCTCATGGTTTTATTTATTGATACTTCTGTGGAGAAGCGCCGTGTGTGTGAGGTCCTTAGATCTTACTGTAAGATATTAAATCATATTCATCATCATATCAGAGTGTAACATGTAGAATCTTATAACCTGTAATAACCTGTAATAACCTGTAATAACCTGTTATAACCTGTTATAACCTGTAATAACCTGTAATAACCTGTTATAACCTGTAATAACCTGTAATAACCTGTTATGACCTGTAATAACCTGTTATAACCTGTAATAACCTGTAATAACCTGTAATAACCTGTTATAACCTGTAATAACCTGTAATAACCTATAATAACCTGTAATAACCTGTAATAACCTGTAATAACCTGTTATCATATCATAACAGGCTGTCATGTAAATGTATCGTCCTGTAAACATTGTCTTGTATTCTGTCTAATGTCACGGTCTTATACAGTAAGTTATGGTAAAGCATATTATATCAAAGTGATCAATAATCTCTGTTTGTCTGTTTCTAAAGAACTTTGACTAAATTAATTTAAAAACATTTAAAATAAAGTTTCATTAAAATAGTTTCAACATTCCTCCCTGTGGAAACACAACTTTATGTTTGAAGAGAGAATTTATTCAGATCAAACATTTATTATTGAATTATCCAGAGTGAGTGTGACATAACACACTTTAGAGAGGATGTATACACACACACACACACACACACACACACACACACACACACACACACACACACACACACACACACACACATTCAGGAAGGTTAGAAAGCACAACTCTCTCTCCAGATAAACTCTCTTCCCTTCATGAGGTCGTTTCCTCTCAACAATCAGCTTCAGGAGAGCGACGCTTTAACTCGCCGAAACACAAAACAACAACTCTTACCTGCACTGAACAAACACAACAACAACAACAACAACAACAACAACAACAACAATATGACAGAGTAAACAGAGACGCTCTGTCAGGACGCTCCATCACCCAAAGACAGAGGGACAACACCTGAGTGAGTCTGGAGACGCTGTGGACTCGGAGACGTGATTCACCGTCTGAATCTACAAACTCAAACTGTCTGACACTCTTCCTCCCGCCTCGATCACCTCTTCATTTCAGCTCTCTCTCTCTCTCTCTCTCTGCTGGGAGCTCCTGGGAATCTGTGGGGGTGAGAAGAGGATCAAGAGGACGAGGCGGGGGGGAAATCTTCCACTGTTAACAAAGGCAGGAAACCAGAAGTCCAAACGTCCAACAGGGGTCTGTGAGCTGAACACAGACAGCAGAAACACGCCCTCCATCCTGGCTGGAATACTCGGTGAAGGTGTGGTTGTTTCAGGCTGCAGAACGGCTGCAGAACGCCACGTTTGATTCTCTGAAGAACAAATATGAGCCTTCATTTTGGAGGGAACTTCATCAGGGGCTCCGTCTGTAAAAATAGACTTTGAATAAGAGTCTAAATTTAGATCCACGTCCACCAAAAAAAAACTGATCCTTATTTTCTTCATTAATGCCAACAGACAGTTAATTCAGACTCAAGAACATGTTTTACCACGAACTGAAACTGAACTGTTAAAACAGAAACCTGCAGAGCATGAGAGCGAAAAACTGCAGTTCCTCGAGTGTCCACTGGAGGCTGTGTCTAAAAGCCAACCGTAATCGCCTCTTTTCTATTCCCACTAATGATTAGAGTTGGGCATCGAAGGAGACCAGGACTGACATCCTGATTCTCTCAGAACCGTTTTAATTTTAAAATGTCGGATTCTGCCGACCAGAGGAAACTGCCGCCGAACACCAACTTAAAAATCCAACTAATGTTAGCATTTGTACTTTTTCATGGAAAAACGGCCTGACAACAAAAACTGAGATTTATAAACTGGTTTAAATTTGTGAAAAATTCACAGTAAAGTTTTTAAAAAGTTCATATAATTTAAAAATTCATGGAGAAGTTCAGAAATTTCATCCAAAAAGAAGAAGAACTCCAGTTAGTGACCTTTGTAAACTGACGTTTGTTTTTTTTATATCCCTCCTTTTAAAGAATCGGAGAAGAGAGTCGATAGGAACCGGAACCGGAACCGGAATCGCTTGAAATGAAACGATACCGACCCTGCTGATGATGGTTCAGAGATCCACAGTGAGAGAAAGATGTGGAAGTGTTCCTGTGGAAACACTCGAGGGTTAGCTGTTGTTGACACACACACACACACACACACACACACACAGCCCTTTAATGAGAGCATATATAGACCTGATCCTCCCACACTCCAGTTTTCAGGAAAACACGGCGTCCATGTTCAGTCTAAAGACCGCCGCGCTCTCTCCAGGAAGAGCTGAGGCGTTTGTGGTGGAAACTTCCAGATCTTTAACGAGCAGCTTTGAAACCAGGGTGCAGATTAGAGAGAGGAGGGACGACCAATAAGGAGACTCCGTACTGGCGGTCCCTCCATCCTCACAGATGCAGATCTCATCTGGCTGCAGTCAATCTCATGTGACAGCGGCGCTCTTCCTCTCCTCTAATTAGACTTTAGACGGTTTTATGTACGCCGCCAGCAGCCATTCAGGGAGAGTCTGAACTTCTCACACCCCCTCGCTCTCCTCCGTCTGATTCAGCGAGTGTGAGGACGGTGACGCAGAGACAGAGAGCGGAGGTTCAAACATCCATCTGCTAATCAATCCATCCTTTGATCGGATTCATTGATCACTGACAGGTCCGGACTGATCAAAACTCTGGAAACCACCCTGTTAAATACTGAACTCTGATTGGTCAATTCCCCAAACAACAGCTGTTCTCTCTGCAGAACAAGGTCAGATTCTAGAGCTGACACTAAAGGGGTCCGACTCTAGAATGGAACGCCTCTTTGCCAATCTGTCCTGTTACCGAGGCAACGGTGGTTAACGGGGTTGATGTGATAAAGATGGCGTCATCCACAGGAGACATTTGTAACTGGACTGTTTGAAGGGACAAGTTAATGTCTCACTGTCTCGCTGTGAAGACCACAGAGACGTTTCCAACATGGTGGAGGACAAACATGAGGAGAGCTTTAACGTTATAATCAGAGCAGCGTGACGGACAGACAGACGGACACGTCTTTGTTCCTCCTGTTGGACATCGCTCTCCTCGTCCACCTGCTCCCACACTCCATCAAACTGACAGGAACTATTTTAACCTACAGTCAGGAGAGAGGAGACGTCTCACAGTTAGGAGAGAGGAGACATCTCACAGTTAGGAGAGAGGAGACGTCTCAACAGTTAGGAGAGAGGAGACGTCTTACAGTTAGGAGAGAGGAGACGTCTCACAGTTAGGAGAGAGGAGACGTCTCACAGTCAGGAGAGAGGAGACGTCTCACAGTTAGGAGAGAGGAGACGTTTAACCGCTTTAAAGCTCCTTAAACAACGACGCCGATCTACGACCATAAATTACTAAATATTCAGAGGCGTCTGTCTGTACACATCAGGCCTGATGTGATTCGCTGACTTTCCGGGAGGAAAAAGACGCGTCATGTGGAAAGACTTTTCCCGGGGAAAGTCCCGCCTCCTTCGCCTCTGATTGGCTAGAAAAGCTGGAAACATCATCACACGCTCAAGCCAAACAGTCAGCACTTATAGCCAATCAGAGGCGATAAGATAAACACATGTAACCATGGTAACAACCGTTAGCTTACGTTAGCACAGATGAAAGTTCAAACAAAGACGTTTATCAAACTGTTAAAGCTCACAAACCATCGTCATATGAGAAATCTGACACTATGACTCTCCACAAGTCGTCCTTCAGGTCGTTATCTTTGTAATGTTTGTGTCTTTGATCAAAAATCACTCTGTTCTCCGACACGGAAACAATCAGCCGGTCGGCCATGTTGGATATACCGCTGAATCTGACGTCACAACAACACGCAATCTGATTGGTCAGAAGTGAACACACAGTATGAGAAACTTTAGAAAAATCGACCATGATCCCAAAAAATAAATGCTGCAATATCGCAGGACGGGAAAACGTCGCTGATGTGAACGCTTGTGTTGACAGGATACGGGTTCGAAAAAAATATTGACGTCAGAAATAATCGCAGGATAAAAACGGTCCCGGTGTGGGAGGAGCTTAAAGCGAGTGAATGTAAAATTCTGATGATTCTGATCAAACTAAAATCAGAGTCTGAACTGTGAGAGAGGAACATTTACTGCCTGGTAAACAAAACAGAGACCTTTGGAACCAGCAGAGAGAGTGTGTGTGTGAGTGTGTGTGTGTGTGTGTGTGTGTGTGTGTGTGTGTGTGTGTGTGTGTGTGTGTGTATAACTCGTTCTTTCTCTCCATGTTTCACCTCCATCGTTGCTCACATCGTTTTCTTCACACCTCTTTTTCTCACCGATTCTCTCGCCTACCTCCATCCTCACACCTCCACACACACACACACATGCACTGCACACAAGAACACACACACACACACACACAACACCAACGTAACCATGGCAACCCTGAGCGAGTCTTCCCAGTTTTCCTGGAGAGGCCGTCTCTCTCTCTCTCTCTCTCTCTCTCTCTCTCTCTCTCTCTCTCTCTCTCTCTCTCTCTCTCTCTCTCTCTCTCTCTCTCTCTCTCTCTCTCTCTCTCTCTCTCTCTCTCTCTCTCTCTCTCTCTCTCTCTCTCTCTCTCTCTCTCTCTCTCTCTCTCTCTCTCTCTCTCTCTCTCTCTCTCTCTCTCTCTCTCTCTCTCCCTCTCGCTCTCTCTCTCTCTCTCTCTCTCTCTCTCTCTCTCTCTCCCTCTCTCTCTCTCTCTCTCTCTCTCTCTCTCTCTCTCTCTCTCTCTCTCTCTCTCTCTCTCTCTCTCTCTCCCTCTCCCTCTCTCTCTCTCTCTGTCTCTCTCTCTCTCTCTCTCTCTCTGTCTCTCTCTCTCTCTCTCTCTCTCTCTATCTCTCTGTCTCTCTCTCTCTCTCCCTCTCCTCTCTCTCTCTCTCTCTCTCCCTCTCCGTCTCTCTCCCTCCCTCTCTCTCTCTCTCTCTCTCTCTCTCTCTCTCTCTCTCTCTCTCTCTCTCTTTCTCTCTTTGGTGTCTCTCTCTCTCTCTCTCTCTCTCTCCCTCTCTCCCTCTCTCTCTCTCTCTCTCCCTCTCTCTCTGTCTCTCTCTCTCTCTTTGTCTCTCTCTCTCTCTCCCTCTCTCTCTCTCTCTCTCTCTCTCTCTCCCTCTCTCTCTCTCTCCCTCTCCCTCTCTCTCTCTCCGTCTCTCTCTCTCTCTCTCTCCCTCTCTCTCTCTCTCTCTCTCTCTCTCTTCATCTCTCTCTCTCTCTCTCTCTCTCTCTCTCCCTCTCTCTCTCTCTCTCTCTCTCTCTTTTTCTCTCTCTTTGTGTCTCTGACAGGATCGAGGTCAGACGGCTGGACGTCAGAGTGACTGCAAAACCAACGCTGTGTGTAAGCGTGTGTTGTTCAAGGTTGTGTACGAGTGTGTGTGAATGTGAGTGTGTATTTGTGTGTCATTGGCCCGGTCAGAGGAATGCTGGACAGGAAGTAAGAAGAAAATTCCAGAAAGAGTCGGTGTAAAAAACAGAGCCTGGGGAGGCAGAGAGAGAAACAGACGCACAGCATCGCTTCAGTCCAACACACACACACACACACACACGCACTCACACACACAGACACACACACTGGGCTGATCTGGATCCTGTAAAGACCTAAAACTCTTTCTGGCTGGATTCCTGCTCCACATGTCAAACTGTTGGAGGCCGTGAGGATGAAACCGAAGCGCTGAAAAGGAGTTTGTCGGCGTGTTTGTTTGGACGTCACGTCCCTCTGGGTTGCGTGTCAGAGTGCGTCTTACTGCACAGCTCCATTAGACCATCTGCACACAGTATCAGGAGTAAACACAGGAACAACGGCTGTATATTCCTGCCACAAACAAGAGCTGACCGACACAACTGTGGGCCTCATGACGGAGAAACACAGAGACTCTGTCAGAGAGAGACACCCTGAACCCTGAACCCTGGACCCTGAACCCTGAACCCTGAACCCTGGACCCTGAGCCCCCACAGGTGACCATCAGACCTGTTCAGATCAGAGGTGAACGTGACTGAGCAGAGCGAGCGCTGAGAGTCTGAGTTCACTTCAGTTCAGAAGAGAGAGAGAGCGAATTAAAGCGTCAAATCAGCAGAAAATTCAGCCCAAAAAAAACGATTAAAGGAAAATTATAAATACAGTCGTTCAGGTTTACAGCATCAGTCACTGACAGGAGAGGAAATATGAAGGTTCAGTTTGAAATATCAGAAAATACAACATTCAAACTTTGGTCTGAAATGTTCCCGATATATTTCTGTTTTTAAAGTTGTTGATTATTTTCAAAGTTCATATTTTATATGTTTATCAGTCTTTACTTTTTGTCTTCATGTCAGACTTTTTCAGACGATTTCTTTGAATTTTTTGTTCAAGAATTTTGCTTTTTTTAATAATGTTTCAGTTTTATTGAAATAGTTCATTTGTTCGTGAAATGTCTGTTTAGTTTTTAGTGCTCGACCACAAAGAGTGATTATAAAGTAATCAGCCAATCACAGCTCAGCGTTCATTACTGAGGAGCATCCTTATGAAGTTAAATTTACGACCATCGCTCTCTTTTAAAAACGGCGGTGACGGTTTGACGTCTCCGGATGAACGTTGATGATTCTTTTATCATGAATGTTTTTATCTTTGGAGGAACGACTGATGAGTGAAGAACATCTTCAGCTGGTGTCTGTGTCTGTCTGCAGTCACTGAGGAGGAGGAGGAGGAGGAGGAGGAGGAGCAGAGCTGGACGCAGACAGAAACAGAAACAGCCTCAGGGGTAAACATGCAGGAGGCAGAGAGGAGGACACAGATGTTCAGAGCGGACCGAGCCTCCTCTCTGCTCCTGGAGAGCTCTTTAATAAACCCTGATCCTGAGACACACACACACACACACACACACACACACACGTTCTGGTTCTGTCTCACAGATGTGGATCAGGAGGTTCAGGTCCGTCTCTCAGCAGCTGTTTCTTGTGGAGGTTTTCGTCGTGTCGCAGATTCTCTCGGTCGGGTTCGAGAGTTTCTGTCTCTGTGTTTTTTTCCACGCTCTGTCATTGCTGCAGATTTCTCACACTGACTTCTGTCTGTCGACTAAAGTTAAAACACAAACCCTCATTTCTGAGAGTTCATGTTGTTGAAGCCGAGATGATCTGAGAACTTTCCTCTGATACTTCTCTGGAGTTTCTGCAGGACCATGATCTGCTCCGTTTGTGAGACCAGAGGCTGAAGTCTGACCCCCAAAGACCAGCAGGAAACTACATGAGAGACCAGCAGTCCAAGCAGCTCTGTGGAGGACCCGGGTCTGAGGGACAGTCCCAGGTCCACATGTTGTGGTTCACTTCACTGTCACAGAGACTCAGGTCCGATCCCAAACCGACCCCGACCCACTCCTGATGAAGTCACACTCACAGCTGTGGAGAGCGCCTCTATTGAAATGGGAGGGTTTAAACATGACGGGCGGGTTTGGGACGCCCTCCTCATTCCACCGCAACACGGACAGATCCATCACCATAGCAACACAAAGACGCGTCCGCTTGTGGAGGCTTCTACGACTCGTTTCAAGAAACTCGTCCTTCTTCTTTTAATAAAGTAAATTTAACTCTTTTTGACACGTTTGCGTTAAATTTGAGCTTTTTTCTCTCTGTTTGCTCCTCAGATGTGGCGAATCTCAGTTTTTTGTGTGTCAGAGGGCGTGGCTCTGTGTAAGGGGGCGTGGTTCAGTGTCAGGGGGCGTGGTTTGTTGGCCCAGCTTTTCAGTGTGTCACAGATCTCAGACTCTTTCAAATGACGTTAAATCTTAGAAAACTACATGAAACTCTTGTATGTATGAAAGTATGAACCTTTGATCAATTATCAGTCTTTTAGTGATTAATTTGAGTTTATTAATTTAATGTTTGAAAACTCAAATTAATCAGATTTCACATTTAAATTAATGATAATATCAGAAACATTTAGACTGGAATATAACTATGATTCTAAAATAAGTCATTTCTCTGAAGAGTTCATGACTGAGCTCCTGATCGTGTCAGTAATGAAGATTTTAATTCACTTTATTTAATAAAAGACAGTTTTCTTCGTTTATCATCACCAGTGTTTCGGTTTTTAAACTTCAGACTCAGAGTTTCTAACATGTTGTAACGACAGGAAGTCTGAGCTCATCATCATCTCTGCTCTGAGTGGGTGAATCTGTGACCCCACAGCTGCTGCAGCAGCTCTGTCCTCTCAGCTGATCCTCCCACATGTTCTGCAGCTCTGCAGAGTTTACAGGTGTGCAGGTCTACAGGTCTACAGGTGTGCAGGTCTACAGGTCTACAGGTCTACAGGTCTGCAGGTCTACAGGTGTGCAGGTCTGCAGACCCCCCAGCAGGTCCCTCCCTCACAGACCCTCCTGTCCCCCCTGTTCTCAGTGAAGGTCACATCAACTCTCCTGAAGTGAAACTTTGGACTCACCTTCTCAGACTCGATGCTCAGCTTCTCCTCCACGTGCTCGTGGATCCCTCCGTTTCTCTCCGGGACCGGCGTGGGCTCCCTGGGTGTCTCCTCCTCCTCCTCCTCCTCCTCCTGCTGCTCCTCCTCCTCCTCTTCCTCCCCCTCCACCTCGTCCATCTTCTCGATCTGTTCTTCTTCTATCTCTGCTCCGTCCACCTCCACATCCACCTCCTCCTCCTCCTCCACCTCCTCTCTCTTTCCCTCCTCCTCCTCCTCCACCTCCTCTTCCTCCTCCTCCTCCTCGTCGAAGGGTATGGGGACTCCTTCGCTCACATACTCCTTCAGACACTTCAGGTTGTGTTTCTTCAGCAGCCCCTCCGTGTCCGGGTCCACCACGATCAGCTCCAGCCGGCCCACGGTGGCTCTGATCCGGGACACGACCTGCTGGTGGCTCTCGTTCTCCACGTCCTCGGTGTTCACGAACACGAGCCGGTCCCCCGCCCGGAGCCCGGAGCTCTCCGCGGGGCTGTCCGGCTCCACTAACCGGATGAACTGCCCGGTCTTCCCCTTCTCTCCGTGGAGGTGGAACCCGTACCCGTTGTCGCCCTTCTCCAGCGTGCAGAGCCGGGGGCGCAGACTCTGGTGGCTCCGACTCGGCATGGTCTCGGCCCGACCTGTTGCTCGATCACAAATGAGACCTGCTCCGGGGATGGAGAGGAGGGGTGTGTGTGTGAGTGTGTGTGAGAGTGTGTGTGTGAGAGAGGTCCCCCTCAACGCGTGAAAAACACAGACCCCCGTCCTGTTGGGGAGATTAGTCCGTGGGAAACGGTGCTGGTCTCTCTGGTCCTCTTTAACGAACGGGTCAGGGTCTGGTCCGGTTAATCCTGCAGCTGTGGGTCGGTCCTGTGAGCGCTTGTTCGGGGTCCTGACCCGGGTCTGAGCAGCGGTTCCTCCGGTTCTCTGCGCCACAAAAGTAGCAGATCCACTCAGGAAGAGGGAGGTGCGTTCACGGACCTGCCCAGCTGGAGTGGGGGGGGGGGGGGGGGCTGCTGAGAGAGAAAACACCGACCGGGAAAAAACACAGACCTGCCCAGGAAACCGGACAGGATTCAGGACTTCTACTTCCCAGAGCTTTTCTCTGTTAGACCCTCTATAATCCACAGAGACACACAAACAAACACACAAACAAACACACAAACACACAAACAAACACAAACACAGGTCTGTCTGTCTGTTTGGAGGTTTTCTGTCTCTGTCCCGGACTTTTTGACAAACTTTACCCCTCCTACATTAAAGGCTCAAACTCACCGTAACACCGAGTTAGACCCCCCTTCCAGAGATGCTTCTCTAGTTATACCAACTTTAGGAACAACCGCGAGACCTCAGGCCAGTCCATTACAGACTACAGCGGGGTGCCGCAGCTCAAGGAAGAACATTTCTGATCATTTCTTTATCATTTCCTTGAAGTAATAATCATCATATTAATCATTTTACAGACGCGGTAGTTCTTCTGTCTTAGCGTCTCGGTCTGATTGTATTTCCATGAAGAAATGATCATAAATGTTCTTCCTTGAGCTGCGGCACCCCGCTGTAGTCTGTAATGGACTGGCCTAAGGTCTCTCTACAAACAAACGTCTGCTGGAAGAGAGTAGGTGAGTTGTGTTTAGTCTCTTTGTTAAAGAAATGAGTCAAAGTTAAAAAGATGTTTGGTGTCTAGTACTATGTCTGTGACCCTATATGTACTAACCTCAGTAGATCATGATGTAGTTCTGTTCAGTAACAGAATCTCATTGGAAAATTAGCTGATTTAACTTTACTGTGCTCTTGTTCAAATATATTAACTCAACAGCACATAAATCTATACCTGTTAACAAAATCATGATTTTATTGATAATTCGGCTCAATAAAAACACCTTTACCTTTTCATTTTACTTCAGTAGAAGTTTATTGGACCAGTTTATAGACTACAGAAGTGGAGAAACGCCCCCACTTAAGTTTATGTTTTCTTAGGAGTTAGAACAACTCTGAATATAGTTCTATGTCTGTGACCCTATATGTCCTGTTGATGAAGTTAGGTGCTGTTCTGAGCATTATTTGTGGCTATAGAGTGGCGTTTTGGTTGGGGGCGTGGCTCTCTGTATTTCTATCCTGCGGTCGTTACTAAAGTTGGTATAACTAGAGAAGGAAGCGGTCGACAACATTCATCTCTGGAGGGGGGGTCTGACTCGGTGTTACGGTGTGTTTGACCTTAAATTAATATTACGACACCAACCCGCTGTAGACCTTAGTGTACCCAGCAGACCAGGTTCTGGAGTCTGACAGTCAAATGTTGTTGAGGATTTCAGCTGCTCCACAGTTCAGGGTCTCCTTGGTCCTGTTTTTGGGGTCACGATGCTCCAAATGTTTTCAGTACAGGACTCTTCTCCTACAGAGTCATGCTGTGGTCAGAATGTGGTTTGGGATCATCTGAAGGTCTTCCCTGAAAAAGTCTTTCTCTGGATGGACGCAGACGCCTGGAGATCTTGTTCAGCATTAATGAAGACTTCACAGATGAGGAAGATACCCAGGACATGGACTCTGATGAACCCCAGACCATCAGGGATGCTGAGAACAAGTCTGGTGGATCTTCTACTCTCTAAAACCTTCGTTGAAAGGTCAACTGGACTTGTTAGAGACGTTTCAGCAGCTCCAGTTTTTAAAAAGTTTTTAGGGGTTCCATAAGATGGTAGGGGAAGGTCGGCTCTGTACATCAAACAGAACATCATCGTAATTCTGAATCTCCAAACCCTAATCCCAGCCCTAACCCTAATCCCAGCCCTAACCCGACAGATGATGGCGTTTCACAGCCATAAGGAATAACCAATTGGAGCCCAGCACTTCTAGCCAATCAGAGGTAAGGAGGGCGAGACCTTCCCCTACCATCCAACAATACGCTGTTTGAGCCAAGCGTCATCACAGCGACTTTCCCGCCGAATGCGAACAGCGCTTCTGCACAAGTGTTGGTTCCAGGAAGTGGAGAAAACTCCGGAAATACTGAGAGCGATTTGTTTAGTGACAGGAGGCGGAGCCAAATATTCTGTAGTAGTTTATACAGTCGACGGTTGATCCTGTAATACCTTTAAGATTTTCTTTACACCACGTAACTGTTCAGCTCTTCTCAGTGTTTACTTGATTTATGTTTTATTGTATTTATTCGGATCAGTTCATGAGTTCATGAGTTCATTCTTCCCTCCTCTCTCAGAATAGATCAGACTCTCTCACAGTTTCACCTGAGTGGAAATTTCTCACTTTGTCCTGAATAAACAGAGTCGCTGCTGCCACACAGTGGTTCATGAACCTCATTACACCCTGGATCACTGTTAACACACACACACACACACACACACACACACACACACACACACACACACACACACACTCACAAATACACACACACACACACACACACACACACACACACACACACACACAGACACACACAAACTCACACACACACTCACTCACTCACTCACACACACAAACACACACACTCACACTCACTCACACACTCACTCACTCACACACACAAACACACACACTCACACACACACTCACACTCACACTCACACACTCACTCACTCACACACACACACACACACACACACACACACACACACACTCAGACACACACTCACTCACTCACACACACACACAAACACACACACTCACACTCACTCACACACTCACTCACTCACACACACAAACACAAACACACACACACACACACACTGTAATAAAACAAACACAAATATACAAAATAGACTTTTATCGAAGGATGTCGATAACAAAGCACTTCCTCTGTGATCACATGACGCCTCAGAGGAGGCGGAGCCACAAACATTCAGAATGAACATCGTTACATGAACAAATACAGCTGCAGTACAGTCTACACAACCACATCCATCAGTGAGGGGGACACCAGAGAGTGTGTGTGTGTGTGTGTGTTTATCTATGCATGCTGGGAAACCTCTACCCAAAGAAAAACAACAATAATAATGATGATGATGATGATGGTGGTGATGGTGAAGTTTCATACCTGTATCTGGGGGGGATGAAGGTTCCTGGGCCCTGAATCAAACGTACAGACACACACAGGGGGGCGAGCGCCCTCAAACATCGGCTTTATTCTAGCTAAGAGCAGTACAGACGAGAACAGACGGATCATTTGGCTACAATCGGAGCGTGAGGCTGAAGTCTGGACTTCTCAAACACACGGATACTCAAAGAAAAGAGAGAGAGAGAGAGAGAGAGAGACTGAGAGTCTGTAAGGCCAAAAGGATCCAGACCACGGTCTGAAAATAACTGAGAGCTGCAGGTGAAAATGCTATATCCACACCAGAGTCTGAGTTCAGGGGGAAAGAGGGTCGAAGAGGATCTACGGTGAAATCAGAGAACTTCACTTTAGAGGAACAGATTTATGTTTAACACTCATCAACAGAAACTTCATCTCTGTCTGATTTTAGTCACTGAAGCTGCTCCGTCCTGAACCCTGAGGGTCTGTGCTGCTGCTCCCCCCGCCTCAGACTTTACATCATCAGACAGGAGGGGGGGGTGCTCTACCCTCTTCAGGCATTATTCAGATACAGCAGGAGTGTTTTTTTCTGCTGTTTTTCTCAGGTGTGCTCGTACAAACATGAGATACTCAGAACTCAAAGAGGGTCTCAGTAAGAGCGGGAACAGTGAGTGAGCCCCCCGGGTTTTCTCCTGCTGGTCTGGCCTCAGTAAGTCTCTGCAGACGGCCGAACCCTCATCCTTCACAGTCTGATGAGTTTAGACCAACATGGATCAGGTTTGCATTGATTGGCTGAAGTTAACGGGTTAAAAAGAACCTTTAAATATGTCCTCGTGTTTTTTATGATGGGAGGAGGAGCGACGCTTTGTCTGTTTCCTGTTTATTAAAAAGACATTATCAAAAGTTGGGGGGGGGTCCTGTTAATGAAACTGTCCCTGACTTCTCTGCAGACTTTTACCCTCAGCTCCACACTGATCGATCGATTGATCAGTGATCATTGATCGAGGTCCGGCCCGCCCCTCCCACACCTCTGTAACTTCTCAGATTAACGATAAACGTAAAGGTCCCTGCAGATGGATATAGCATTTCAGATTGTAACTCCTGACACTGTCACCACAAAGACCACGAACATTTCTACACATGACAGAAAAGAGATCGTTTGATTCACATTTCAGATTAGGGATGGCGGCCAATCCGGGGTCAGCTCGGAGGGCGAGCAGCCGAGGACGCCGCTCTGGGTTTGGTGGTGCTGGGATTGGCTTTAGTTTCAGGACGTTTCCGCCTCCATCTTTGTTTCTTTGTTTCTTTGTGTCTCTGTGTCTCAGCTACATGCCGCAGCAGCCCGTCTTCTGCTTCTGGGACTCGATGTAGTCGTGGATCTGGAACTTGGGCTCGTTGGGCTGCTGTGTGGCTCTGTGCTTCAGCTCCCTGATGGAGAGAGAGAGAGAGAGAGAGAGAGAGAGAGAGAGAGAGAGAGAGAGATGCTGGGAGTCAGAAAGAGAGGGGGTGGATGTGTGGGACGCAGCACAGACAGAGAGGGCAAATCTAGAAAATGAGATGGGAAGAGAAGTACGAGGAGAGCGAGAGAGAAAGTCCCTCTGAGTGGAGATTTAATCAAAAAGCCTCCAGGATGAATCATTTCATCAAACCGGTAAATATCTGAAAACCTGCTCCATCATTTTCTGTCTCCTCAGCAGCTCAAAGTCACTTTCAGGCCAAAAAACCGTCATTTTCCTTCTCTGTGAGTGAAGGTGAGTCCAGGAGAGAGAGAGACGAACAAACAACAAACGAAGAAAAACCCTCCGAGTGTCGGAGGAATCAGAGCGAGTCAGAGGAACCTCCGAGGACGAGGACGAGGACAGAGACGACTCAGAGCTGAGGGAGACAGGGCCGTCTCTAAGTCAGGGCATGGGCCACCTCTGAAATCCGGCCACCCCGAGTGTCAGTGAACGTCCTAAACGAACTTTTCCTCTTAAAGAGCTGCAGCTGATTTTTAATAAACACAAACACACAGACTCTTCAGACACTTCAAGTCAACAAACTCTTTATTTGTTTGTTTGTTTATTTATTTATGTCTTTCTGCTTGAGCGCGGCGCCGTCGGGATGAGGGCGGGTCTCTGTTCTGTGTTAGGTTAAATCTTTATATAATCTGTTTTTAGAATATGAATGTTTTTCTATTTCGCAAAATCCCAACAAACAGACTGTTTAAATAAATAAATATTTGGTCTCTATGAAAACTTAAACACGATCATTTTGAAGCGAACATGAAGAATAATCAGAACAGATGATCAGTTCATAAAAACAGGTAGTTGGTGTTTAGATGGTTTTTAAAGAATATTTCAGTTTTTAAACCAAAATGATGAACAGAAAAAATTAAAGTCACTTTTTTTTTAGTTCTAAATGATTTATTACAGACTGTCTGCAGTTCCCTCGCTGACCACCAGGGGGCTTTAAAGCTGTCAGACCTGAGTATAGATTTCATTTTAAAGAGCTGTTCACACTCTGCTCACTCATTTATAACCTTAGATATATAAAAAACTTCTTCATTCGCAGGAAAGTCCAAAAATAAAAACTTAGACTCTGAAAACACTTGAGGTCAAAGGTCAAACTTTAACCCTTTGTGCTGATCAGTAGATATTGATAGTTCAGATTGATTATGATGTTTCACTTTAACACTTTAACCTCCTTCACAGAAACGTCTTCAGCTCTGATTCTCTCAGTAAAATCACCTCAGAGGATCGACTCTCTGAGCCGCTGCTCTTCAATCTTCACACATCATCTATTGTTCAGAGAAATTATTGATCGCTGCGGCTTTAACTCACTTTGCGATGGCGAGGAAGGCCAGCTCCACATTAACTCCCGTCTTGGCGCTGGTCTCCATGAACGGCACGCCGTACTCCTGCATCAGAAACACAAGAGAAGAGGAAGTGGAGCGTCTGCTGGATTATTTATTCAAACATGGAGGCGTCACACTCCTCATACTCCACCTTCGCCAGCCTCTCCCCGTCCTCCGTCTTCACCACCCGCTCTGCCGCCATGTCGGCCTGTAAGAAAGCAGCAGGAGGAGAAAACAAATCATCAGGTGGCACTGCAGGGTTACAGACGCTGCAGAGATGGACCGTCCTGTCAGCTCAACCTCCTCTTCTCCTGCAGCGAGGCCTCCAGCCTCCTCAGACTGATGACACGTCAGACACTCCTCCTCCTCCTCCTCCTCCTCCTCCTCCTTCATCATCTTTAAGAGGAAAACCATCTAAAGCTGCTGGAGACATCTGTGACCCTGCAGAGGTCTTTGCTGCACCAGCAGAGGGCGCTCACTGAGATAAACGCTGGAGGAGAGACGAAGGTTTAAAGACCAGCTCAGAGACGGAGTTTCGGGTTGAGGGTTCGAGTCTCTGTTACAGTTTCACCTCTGCAGACCCGACTGTCTGACCTTCTCAGTGATTTAAGAAAATGAAATTTGAGGGTCGAAGAGCCGGAGTCCAAACATCGTCCATCACGATGACAAACGGACAGAAACAGACGGATGTCCACTTTGATTCAGAGCTGTTGTTTTTTTAATGAGGCTGTAAACGTGTTTATTTCGGCTTCTTTGAATGGGTGTGTATGTGACTTCTTCAGCGTCTGCAGCCAGCCTCTAGTGGACACCTGAGGTACTGCAGGGTGACGTTTTAAACAAAACCAGCTGATCTGTCCTCTCTGCTGGATTCAGACGCTGTGAGTTCATGTCGTTAAAATCAGTCAGAAAAATCACAAACTTTCAAAGTTTATCTTTAAAATCTTCTTCCTGTTCAAACGTCTTTAAAAACAAGATTTTCTTCACAGTCAAATATTCTTTCACAAAACTAAAGTCTTTGAATTAGTCCTTTAATTCATGTTTAATCTTTGTTCATTTAATTTAAAGACATTTGTATTAAAATTCAGAATTTAACGCCGTTCTCTCCATATTGTTGTTTTCCTCCTGAACCAAAATCAAAAGTCTAAATTATTATTATTTATTATTATTATTATTATTATTATTATTATTATTATTATTAATAATTATTATTATTATTATTATTTGCACTTTAGTCTCTGTGGAAATGTTGCTCTCAGTTATTCAGATGTCGTTTCCTTTCTGTTAGTTTCCTAATAACTGAATCTCTGCGTAAATCTTACAGTATTATATTACAGTTCAATATTTACAGAGAAGTCTGAACTAAAGCAGCTTTTTCTTCTCACAGAAAGTTCATTTCAACTCTTTTTTCTCTTTTCTGGAAAATCAAATTCACACTTTTCCAATATGCTGCAGAGCCGACAGACTCACAGACTCACAGAGTCACAGAGTCACAGAGTCAGAGAGTCAGAGTCACAGACTCACAGACTCACAGACTCACAGACTCACAGACTCAGAGTCACAGACTCACAGACTCACAGACTCACAGTCACAGACTCACAGACTTACAGACTCAGAGTCACAGACTCACAGACTCACAGACTCAGAGAGTCAGAGTCACAGACTCACAGACTCACAGACTCAGAGAGTCAGAGTCACAGACTCACAGACTCACAGACTCAGAGAGTCAGAGTCACAGACTCACAGACTCACAGACTCACAGACTCACAGACTCACAGAGTCACAGACTCACAGACTCACAGTCACAGACTCACAGAGACGAGGACAGACGTTCATGTTTGCTGATTTCGTTTCCTCTGAAGGAAAAATGTAAAAGACTCAGAAACGCCGACGTGAACGTTTCTGCTCAGGTTGGTTTCAGCGTCTCCAGTGACGGTATTTTCTGAGCGTCTGCACCAGCGTGATAAGAGCGTGCTGTAAATGTGCAGCAGGAGCACTTATCCTCCTGATCTGTTTGATGTGAGGTAAAGAAAGGAAGAGCAGCTCACCTTGTTTCCAAGCAACATGATGACCACATCCTTCTGGGCGTACTCGTGGATCTCAGTGAGCCAGGCCTTCGGAGGAACAAACACAGACAGAGAGAGAGATTAGTCTGCAGACAAACAACATTTACAGACAATGAATGAATAAATGAGTGAGTGAATGAATGAAGAGCTGAGTCACTCTTTTCAGCCCTGAAACTGTCACAGAGGAAACGTCTGATGATGGGACTTTGCATGTAAATGAAGACAGTGAGGCGTTCAGGTGTGGGAGGAGGAGAAAGAGAGAAAGGGGGAGGAGTCATCTGAGGCGTCTCACCCTGATGTTGTCAAAGGACGGCTTGCTGGTGATGTCGTAGAGCAGGAGTAACGCTGTGAGAGAAAACGAGAGTTTGTTCAAGTTAACGTTCGACTGTTATCTGCAGATTATCTTATATAACAAACACAAACACTCCTACACACACTTTATACACACACACACACACACACACACACACTCAGAGCAGGAGGAAGTGAGTCATAAAACGCCAAGGTTACCCTGGGCGTCTCTGTAGTAGGCGTGCGTTACGCTGCGGAATCTCTCCTGACCCGCCGTGTCCCAGATCTGCGAAACAAACCGACAAATTACACAGCAGCTCGCCAAAAAAACGCCACATCCTGCAGGAGAAACCCCGCCCACTACAGCAGAAACCAAGGTCCTTTAGAGGGCGGAGTTACACCAGGAAGAAACGACAAACCAAACAGGAAACGCGAGAGCGCCGAGATTCTCCTGAAAAATGAACTGAAAACATTTTTGAATGGGTGTGTATGTGGTTCCTGGAGCTTTAGCAGCCAGCCCCTAGTGGACACTGACGGTACTGCAGGTTTTAGCCCTTTTAAATGTGAAACCAGGACAGACCTGCCGACACTGACCTGTGAGGGAGATGCTAGCTCTGCTAACGTTAGCCACACTAGCTGCAGTTAATAAATAAAACAGCTTAAATCAGAACTTCGTTAGCTTTAGCATTAATTTAAAGATAAGATAAACAAGTTAGCTAAAACGACCTTTCTTTGCTAACCTTGAGGCTAAAAGAGTTGTTTTATTATTTCATCCAGAAAAATAATCATGTTTTAATTATATTATTAAAAAATAACTTAGCTGAGTTAACTAGCTAAGGTGATAGCATCGAGCAAAACCAGCCACAGAGTAAACGACCATAATACTGTAATTAAGGGAACCCCGGAACATGTGTTATTTTTGTTTTGACTCTCAGAGGATCTAAAAAATATTCAGCAGCAGCTAAATTAACATCAACACCCTTAAATTAATTTAACGATCGTTCATCTTTAAAGTAATTTTACAGCTTTAACGACATTTACCATAAACAGAGACTAAAAACTGCTGAGTCATGCTGACTCAGCTAAAACAGTTCATCGTCTGATCGAGTCTCTTATTGATCATAAATTTACACGTCCTGAATATAAACTAATGAGTAAATATAAAAACAGACTTAGTTTGTTAAAGCTGACTCTTTTTCTTCATGACTGAACGTTTTTAACGTTAATTTTTGGTTAATAAACCGTCTAAAAATGACTGAATTAGACTTGACATCCTTTCTCTTCAGCCCCAAAGATAATCCTTCTTCTCTTTACTCAGAGCTTTCTTCTTCTTCTTCTTCTTCCTCCTCTCTGCTTCTGCTCAGACTCAAACCGACACAGTCTATTTTGGAAATAATCACAAGTTGTTGTTTTTTCCTCCTCGTGTGCGAGGCCAGTGCAGGAAACAGCAAAGACTTCGCTGCAGCAGCAGGAGAAATCTAATTCAGTCCTCGGCTGTTCGGAGTTAAAGAAACGCTCCTGATGAAAAACGAGTTTCTGGTTTCAGATTAAAGAGCTCGCTCCTGAAGCGGATCAGAGATGCAAACAGAGAGAGTGAAGTGAGTGTGACATGTATGAAGAGCAGCTTTTATTTTGACGATCACTTTGATTCTGCTGAAACCTCCCAGACGAGCGCAGATCGATGAGCCGATCAATAACTGCCAGGATGACAAACTGGAATAAAACAGCGTCTCATGCAGGTGAAGAGAAAAGGCGCACGTCCTCACCTGCAGCTTGACCTTCAGGTTGTCCACGTCCACCACTTTATTCTGCAGGGAGAGAGAGGAGAGACATGTGTGCATGAGAGAGACACTGACAGTCCACCATATGCTTTGGAGACACGGGTGACGGCGTGAAGGCCGCACAGAGACGGATGACGAACATCACAGGCGGACTAAAAAAGCTCAGACACTCAGCAGGAGGTCTGGGAAACAAAAACAACTTTGGATGCTGGCAGAGAAACTCATTTACAACACCCACACCACAACAAGGTCCTGGGATTAGACTTAATTACACCACGGCGAGAAGAACAGCCCACTCCCCCATTCATTTCCTGCAGCCCTGTAGGGGCGCCCTCTGATTTCCTGAGCGCAGAGGACGGCCGAAATCAGCCTCTGAGACCCCGACTGCATAACAACACGTCGTGACCAAAGTGTGGAGAGAGGAGGAAGCAGCGAACGAGGAGGAGGAGGAGGAGAGATCACAGATACTTCAGCAGGAAAACAGGATAAATGAGGAGGTTTGAGACGGTAAAAAACAAAGACTGATGAAGGAGGCAGAGGGACAGGAATCAGAAATACTGTCGTTTACAGGATCAGCTCTCAAAGTTCAACGGGAGGACGCAACATCGACTTTAAAATCCACTCTGTTCGTGAGACGGCGAGTCTTTAGTCTCTGCAGGACTCGAGTGTCTTCAGTCTCACAGAAGGTCGGGTTTATTTTCAGAGACGGTCCTGATCCTGACAAAGTTCAGCTGTGATGATTTAGTTTTAACTTTAATGATTCCTGTTGACAGAACGAACCAGAGGCGGCCATCTTTGTTATGATCTGCTGTCCAATCAGAAGCTGACTCTAACCCCCGATCTCCACCTTCATCCTGATCATCCTAAATATCTTCACTAATGTTATATAATTTATGGAAAATCAAATTTACTTGATTCTGCAGAATTAAATTTGAATTTAATCATTTCTGTGAAAATAATTACAACATATTTTTTTTAGTAAATCTTGAAGACGGAGTTTTTACAGAGAAACTGAGACTTCACAGAAACAGGTGAAACTGAAAACGTCAGTTTGTGGTGCAGAAACATCCGGATGGTTTCTGAGTTCAGAGTTACTTCTTCAGTTTCTGTGAGATTGCAAAAACTGCACAGAGTCACTTCCAGAGAAAAAGGAAGTCCGGCTCTGAGCGGCTGATCGAAGTCTCAGACCGAGGCAGAGAGAGCAGATACTGATGTCCAAACGTAGATGTTTAAACATAGATGCTTCAATATTTAAAGTTCAGGTTCTTTGGTGGAAATCTGTGTCGAGGTGATCTGAGGTCTGAAAACACGCTCCAACACGCCGCTCTGAGGAGACAGAACAGGTTCTCCGGGTTGTTTCTCGGGTTAATCGTTCATCACAGGAGTTTTTTTTTTTTTTTGCGTCACTGACCTGCAGCAGGAAGAAAACAGGTCACAACAACATGTCAACCTCGCTCTGCAAAAACCACAAAAGACACACACAGAGAGGCAGGAAGTGTCATGCAGCCGCAGCGTTTCCTGCATCAGCTTCATAACTTCATACCAGTAACAGGTCACCATTACCAGCCCAGTCCTCCCAGTTAAAACACACAAACAAACACGGACAGAGCTGCACGGAACAAAAGGAAACCTCTGCTGAAGCCGCCACCTGCTGAATCCTCCGCCTCTGCCGAGCGGACATGCTTCAACCCCTGCATTAGTTGCCATGGGTTTCCATTTTCCCCCCAATTATGACGTGAGAGGAGCCTGCATGCTGAGTAACTGCTACAAGGAAAGATGCTGAAAATAGAGCGGCCGTGTTCCAAGCTGCCACAACAGCCGCGCTGCTGATCCACGGAGCGCCGAGGACAACCTCCTCATCAGCATATCCACTTCATCTCTCTAATGCAGGAGAACAAAAGCTAATCGCTCACATTAACGACCTTCTTCTGAATGAAAGCGTGACACTGAATGCATCACGTTCCTCAAGTGTGAACCAGAGTCAGATCTCTGCTCACGCCTCCTCTGATTGGACGCCGGCCTCACAGATGAGACGTTTCTGCTTTACAGCTCCATCTGTCAGGCGTCCATTATCCTCCCTAATGTCTCCACCGCCATCCCAAGAAGACGATACATCACTCCGACTAATGCAACACAACTTCCTCCTTAAATCGCCGCTACTTGACCCGCCATTAGTCTGAGTGTTTGGCCGTGATTGGAGGAAAACCGAGGATGAGCGGCTGACTCGGACAGAGGGAGGAAAACAGCAGTTAGGAGTTTCTGTACGAGTGTGAGTGTGTGTGTGTGTGTGTGAGTGTGTGTGAGTGTGTGTGTGTGTGTGTGTTTCTGTGTGTGTGTGTGTGAGGTGGTACAGGAGCTCGTCTGTCAGCGGTGTGACTCCTCCAGGACCGAGTTGAGCGGCAGCCAATGGCAGCAGCAGCAGACAGGGACGTGGGCGGGCATCTGCAGAGACGTTTCTGAGTCGGTCCTGAGCGCCTCGCAGCACAAGTGGTCTGTGAACTCGTCTGATTGGTGAGAGGGTTCGTACATTTGGTGCGATCGGCGCCCAGAGATGAAGTGTTGTGCGTGAACTGGAGGTGATAATTGGGCTGCTGTCACTCACGAGTGGATCCCTGTGCGGCGGCGGCGGCGTAAATACCATCAGGGTTGTTTTTCAGACACTGAAGTGTTGAACAGGAATCGAACCCGCGCTCTGAACCGCTGCAGCTTCAGGAGAATCGAGTTTATATCGGAGCGACGTTAACCTCTGTCAGAGCGTGTGAGGGCGTGGCTGTTCATGTTTGATTGACATCTGTAAAAGCGTGTGACAGTAACCGTATTCAGACTCTGTTTATCTGAGCGACATGAGTCAGAACCAGGGGGAGGAGCCTGACAGGATTCATGTCAGCTGGTTGACCCGTCTGTTCACACGTCGTGACTGAAACATGAAATTATTACGGCTCTGTTTCGACAGGCGGAGCTTCACAGAGACTGAACTCAAGCCACGATCATCCTGACAGACGCTAACTCGTCCGACATTTAAAATAAACGTCCAAATTTACAAAACCTGAAATCTACGGAGACTTGAACCCGCCGTGAGGAGATTTAACTCGCTGAAATAACGTCTCTGTTTAACCTTAAACAAGGAAACAAGCCGTCTCCTTCACTGCTGCCCCCTGGTGGGTGTTTCTGGTGAAGCGTTTAACGGCACAACTTTTTTTTTTTTTTTTACAATTTTAACAGAAACAAAAACACAGAGAGAAAAATCAGACTGTTGAATACGTACATAATCAATACTTGCAGCACTTTGTCCACAGGGGGGCGCTAAAACAGCCCTGTTCGTAAAAACACTCGTTAAGAACCAGAATTAAAATCCTCCTCAGAGTTTTTTTATATATTATAAAAACAGAATTTTTAAATTGAAGATTATTAAATCGTCCGCTCAGCGTGTGTCGGCGCCGACGGCTAAAACGAAGATTTTAAGAAACACTGACATTGTAAACTCAACGAGCCAATGGCGATGGTCGTTCATATTTACAGGTTATCAGTTTGCGAACATCGACTCAGTTCTGTCGGGTTCAACTGTCAGGAGGAAAGTTCGCTTTACTTCTTCACTCTTGAAGACGCTCGATAAAATGTTCTTCTATGGAGTTTGATATGGCGTTCTAATTGCACTCTAGCGCCACCTTCTGGTCAGGCATTCTCGTTAGAGTTTTTCAGACGTTTTTATTACGTTGAAATACTCAAAAACATGTCGAGTCTGTTAGCCTGAAATAGGAGCTAAACAAAGATCTGTGAATGTGAACGGACAGATTATCTCTATGCTGATATCTCACTGCTGCCCCCTGGTGGGTGTCAAACACGCTGCAATTTACGGCCGCAGACCTAATGTGCTGTTATTAACATTTAACTTAATTATTATTAATTATTATTGTTCAAAAACATTTGAATTCACGTGCAGGACAGAGTATAAGACTGCTGCTCTGTCAACAGGGGGCGCCGTACTGACTCCAAGTCTTTTTATCTCCGATTCTCACTGACTGAGGCTCTGTCATAGATCAGGGTCTCCAGAGGCTCTTCAGCAGCTCAGAAACACACAGAGAAGGTTGTGACGGTCTCTCTCACCCTAAAGTCTATTCCAACGGTGGCAATAAAGTTTCCTCCCAGAAATGCACCGTCTTTAAAGCGCACCAAGATGCACGTCTTCCCCACGGCTGAGTCTCCCAGGAGCATCACCTAGAGCCGAGGCAGCACCAGAGAAGAAGAAGAGGAGAGGAGGAGGTTACAGCCGGAGACAAACAAACATCAACCAAACACAGACCTGGTACCAGGTACCTGGTACCTGGTACAGCCTGAGAGGAACTAAAACTGCAGGAACTGTTTCTTTATGAAGGTCTCCTCTCTGATGATGTTACTGTCAGCTGGTTTACATTAGAGACACAGCTGACTGAGCTGCCAACAACATGTGACGCTCTGACAGCTCAGGAGAGAGGAGATCCAAACTGCATCCTCTGAAACTGATGGATCATCATCAGGAGGAGGAGCAGGAGGAGCAGGAGGAGCGGTTAAACAACCATCCTGCTCCTTAACGTGATGCAGGGCTGACATGTTCTCACAGTGAGTCACAGACACACAAACATACAGACAGGCATGCAATTCAACCTGATTTTAACTTCTGCTTTTGTCTGCTGAGCCGTTACAGGTGTGTCTGTGCAGAAACATGAGAGGAGACAAGAAGAAGAAGCAACAAGTCCACCCTCAGCAAATATTTACAGATCAGAGAGGGCGGATAAAGAGATTTACAGGGAGAGAGAGAGAGAGAGAGAGAGAGAGAGTGTGTGTGTGTGTGTGTGTGTGTGTGTGTGTCTGTGTGTGTGTGTGTGTGGCCTCTCTAACGAGGAGCATCTAAATCCACACCTGGAGTTTCTGATTTTCACTTCTGTTCATGTTCTCATGCACAACACTTCTCCACATGTCAGCATGCATGTTGTTCCTGAGTCTACACACACACACACGCACACGCACGCAGAGACGGACATACACACCTTAAAGGCAATATCATAATACTCGTTAATAGACGCGCATCTCTCCAGCACATATTTGGAGGTTCCGTTTTTACTCTGCTTGTCCGTCAACGACGTCTTCCTCGCAGACATCTCAAAGAAGAAGGAGGCTGGCAGAGCCGAACCGAACCGAACCGCTGTTTCCTCCGAGAGGGGTCCAAGAAAGACGCGCACCGTGTCCGCCTCGAGATGTCCGCCTCAGTCCCGCTCTTCTCCGCCAGCCTCGAGCCCCGCCGCCGCTGCTCGCATTACTGCGCGTGGACACGAAATGATCCCCGGGAGCTGCTCGAGCCAAATCACACCTTAGAGGAGAGGAGACGAAGCGGAAGCGACGGAGAAAACTTGCAGAACAATGAGCGTCAGGCGCGCGGCGGTGATGTCAAACAGGCGGAAACCTCGGTGAGAGTGCGCGGAGCGGCGCGGCGCGGCGCGGAGCATCGTGGCGTGGGCAGATCATTAACGGAAAGGGTTCAGCCGCTCTGACAGATCCGCGCTCTCTCCCGGAGCCGGTCTGCGGGCGGACTCTGTCCCCAAACAGCTGCGGGGGTCACACGCGCCGGAGGTGGAGGCTGACTCATCCGCCACAGGTGGTGCTCGACCAGGGAGGGAGAGAGAGAGAGAGAGAGAGAGAGAGAGGGGAGGCCGAGAGGGGGGAGGCAGGGAGGCAGGGGGACAGAGGGAGGTCTGAAGTGTGACCCTTTAATGACACTGCTCCTCATTAATAACACACTTCTGTGTCACGTGCAGAAATCCTGCTTTAAGGTGAACTCGTGCGTAAAATGGCGCACTGAGTCCAGAATCCATTTTCCTTTGAACCCCCTAAAGGACCCCCCCCCCCCCACTCATGTGGTCATAAATCAGAGCCCCTCCCCTTTAAGAACTGACTCCTCCTCACAGGTCAATAATCAATCATTCAGATTTTCCTCCAATCATCAGATCAATCCCCTGACCTCCTCTCCAGCATGTCAAACATGATTAAAATGGTTTCACTGGGAATCAAACCTGCAGTGTTTGTCGCCCCCCAGCGGTCACGTGGGGAACAGGCTCAGGTCCTGCCCCCTCTCCCTGTGACTGTGGTGACAGGACTAAAGTCACAGATCCTTCCTCTTACATAACTGACATGTCAGCTCCTCTTTAAAGTCATGAACTCATCACTCTGCTGCTGCTGCTGCTGCTGCTGCTGCAGGCGGCTCCTCCGCTCTGACATCATCCTCCTCGCCATCATCATGATTCAGAGCGCGCGGCGGCGGCAGCTGAACGTGTCACTGATTTCATTAAGAGCAGAGAGGAGTCCGTGTTTCTGCACTTTTCCTCAAGAAACCGATAAATGAAGCTGATGTGTCTGCACCACAAACCTGCAGTTCCCCCAGTGTCCACTAGAGGCTGTGTCCCAGAGTGAGTCAGTCCTCATAGAGCCCCATGTTAAAAACGTAAACATGTTTACAGAGACAGGGTCAGTCTCTCTCACAGTTAGATTAATAGTTAGTGTTAGTTGACCTTTAGTAAACCCTGGGTTCAGAGGAACTCTAGTTACTGGTTAATAAATATTTAACTCAACACTAACTGATCACTGATTATTGATTAGGTTATGATTCATTATGACGCTTTACTTTAGTCTCTAACTAACCAATTATCAGTGACTCTAAAGGAATTGATGGTTGAACTTATTTTTTACTCATTAACTTTTGATAAACGAGTAGTTAGTTACTGATTCATCACCTACAATTGATCCAAACTTATATACCTTATCAACTAGTTACATTATTGATAAATTAGTAGTTAACTAGTGGTTTATAAGTCAATCATTTAATGGAAACTGTATAATAATAATAATAATAATAATAATAATAATACCAGTTTGTGTTTCTAATCAACCTGCTAACTCATGAGTCAACGAGCAGTTTGGAAATAATTAATAACCCAGTAGTTGGGCAGAGTTAATATACCTTATTAACTTATTTATTAACTAGTGTTAATCAGTAGTTAGTTAATCATAAATTATCCAATATCAATACAAAACATTTGATATCTACAGCTGACTAATATTCGACTAGTTAGTTAACTAGTTAGTTATTAATTCATAACCTGGAATTGATCCAAAATGACCGATTAACTCGTGGTTAACTAGCTGTAAATAACTCATTAGACAGTAATGATGAAATCTGTGAATCTCTGTTCACTGACAGTAACTTTGCTTCATTTTCAGTCCTAGTCCTAGTTAACTGACGGTTAATTAACAGTTAACTACTCACTCATTAGGAAATATGTGTGAGTTTTTAACCTGTTGACTTGTGTTAATTATTAGTCACTCTCTCACTCACTCATTACCCAGCTCATGTGCTCACATGTCTAACCTGTTAACTAATGGATTAGTCGTGGTTAACCCCGGTCTAGTTCTTCATTTATTACTGGTTCATGTGTTAAAAAAGGTCTCGATATGGTGAAGTTATGATTATGTTAAATATCATTAATTAATGTTTAATTGTAGCTAATTACTGACTCGTTACTGTGATGTAAAAGTCTGTAATCAGTCCTCCTCCTCTTCATCACTCAAATATGAACAAGTCTGAAGCTCAATAATCATCGTCTCAGTGAACCGAGCGTCTTCATCTGTTTGTCTCCAACTCACACTAACACACACAAACACACTCTAACACACACTTACACACTCTAACACACACTAACACACACTAACACACACACTAACACGCACAAACACACTCTAACACACACTAACACACACAAACACACTCTAACACACACAAACACACTCTAACACACACAAACACACACTAACACACACAAACACACACTCTAACACACACAAACACACACTAACACACACTAACACACTCTAACTCACACTAACACACACAAACACACACTCTAACACACACAAACACACACTCTAACACACACTAACACGCACTTACACACACTAACACACACAAACACACACTAACACACACACTAACACGCACAAACACACTCTAACACACACTAACACACACAAACACACACACAAACACACACAAACACACTCTAACACACACTAACACACACTAACACACACTAACACACACAAACACACACTAACACACACTAACACACTCTAACTCACACTAACACACACAAACACACACTCTAACACACACAAACACACACTCTAACACACACTAACACGCACTTACACACACTAACACACACAAACACACACTAACACACTCTAACACACACTTACACACTCTAACACACACAAACACACTCTAACACACACTAACACACTCTTACACACACTAACACACTCGTCAGAAAGCGTGAAGTCGGCCATGTTTGTAACAGCTGTTGATCAAAGATCCTCATTAGAGGAGCTCTTCTCTCTGCACAGACATCATTAACCACAATAACACACGCGCACACACACACACACACACACTGCAGGGCTGATTCACGCTTCATTCACAGACACACAAACAGCAGAAAGGGTTTATGGGTAATTATTGAAGGGGCTGTGACGGTGCGTTCAGGGACGGAGGGAAAGTCCGGACTCACCGTGAAGCCGATGCCCACGGTGGAGGTGAAGGAGCCCGGGATGAACTTCCCCTGATCGAACTGAACCAGCAGAGACGTCTTCCCGACGCCGCTGTCCCCGACCACGATGGTCTGCAGACGCACAAAGACCTCCTGATCACACATGAGCTCAGACTCTGTTTGTGGTGTACCACAGGGTTCGACTCTGGGCCCACTATCATTCACTACTGACCCCAGATCAGGACTTTGAATGGACACGGTGATCCAGAGGTCCCAGAGGTGAACCTTGAGGAACACCAACATGGATCTGTGGTTCCTCTGAGATACCGCCTCAAATCCATGTCCAAATCTTTCTGCTCTGAGGGGGTTAAAGATGAATCCATGAACGAGGACGCGTCAAATAGAGGGTGAGTATATTTACTTTAACTTTAATTAGCAGTAAAATTTAACATGTAATTTAACTAAAAGTGTAAAGATCAGATTTATGAAACTCCGGGTTTGTTTTTAAAAACTGTAAATTCATCTCGACCTGTTTCTCCTCTTTGGTTCCTCTCTGCAGCTCTAAATGTTGAAGATCGATCATTTGTTTGGATCTTCAGATCTGACGTGTCGATGTCTCACCTTGTGCGTCAGGTCTTCGTCGTACGGGCAGGTGATGGATGTCGGCGTCTGTCCGTCCTCTGATGACGACCCGTACGCGCTGTCTGAAGAAACCATCTTCATCTCAGTCCTTCTGCAGAAAAACACTCAACCTTCTCTCCTCCAGCTCTGCCTGATCCTCCGCTCTTCTAGCACGCCACCTCGGGTTTATATCCTCCATAAACGACCTCCCGCTGGGCGTTAGACATGCACAAACCTGAGTAAATATTTAACCTGATCATCAGAGGGTTCCGGGTTTTCACTATTTATGAAGAGGAACCATGTTGGACATTTCTACAAGGAAGTGTTCAGCACCCCGGAGAGCTCCTCTCCTCCATCCGACATCCGCTACAACATGGAGGGGGGGGCAGGAAACAGTCAGGAACAGCTGCCATAAACGGGTCAGAGTCATCCTGGGTTTACCTCAGAGCAGAACCAAAGTTCAGGTTCTCACTGATCGGAACAGAAAAAGAGAAAACTTTGGCGTCAGAGTCGGTCTGAACATCCGATCCTGTTTCTGCAGAATATCAGAGACACAGAGAAACGACAGAGACTTTATCATGTCCTGACTGATCTGATTCAGTCAGTCTCTGCCTCTAAACTCGCTGAAAAAGAAATCTGTCATTAGAAATGATGTGAAAGTTCATGCTGTTTGATTTTGGACAAATTTACGGTTGTGAAGAAAGAGATTTTGAGTCAGAAACAGAGAAACTGCTGCAACGTTAAGAAGAGAAATGAAGTTTTCAGTCTGAAAATCTTAAAAACACTGAAAATTAAATGAGACAAATTCTTCTTCAGAGTTTTTGAACTTCCTAACTTAAAAACCGACTCAGACTTTGTAGAGACTCTAAATAAAACACATTTTCACAAACAGAGAGAAAGAAGAGAGCAGGAACGTTGGTCCTCATTAAAGTGTTTTTATTGACGGTCAGTCAGGAAGTCGACGCCGTGAGCTCGTCCTCTCCACACAGACCAACATGAGTCACAGACCGGACCACAACGATCCCCCTAAAAATACAAAACCAGAGAGGATCTGCTCCTCCGGACAGGTGAGACCAAATCATAGGACAGCAGTTTTCAGACAGACACACACACACGCACACACACACACACACACACACACACACACACACACACACACACACACACACACACACACACACACACTCGTCTTTCTCTCAGACAGTATAGAAAAATAAGATCGTCACACACCGATTATCTGCAATAAGACCGAGCTTCACTGAAGCGACTGGAACTGTGCAAAGGTAAACAAGGTCACTTAAAAAAACGCCGTTTAAAAACACAGAAAAGGTCACGCTAACGTCAGACAGACGACGGGGTCCACCTCTCTGTTCTCGTCTCTGAAGGTTTCATCCCAGTAAACGTTTCTTCTTCTTCTTCTGTCACTGAATAACGGCGGCGTCTGTTCACTCCACAGAGCTCCTCATAACAACAGAGAGAGGCGATCAGGAAGTCAATCAGGATCAATACTGCATTTAATCTGGAGGTCCGACCGAGCAGGAAGGAGGTTTACAGTCCGCCGGGTCAGAGGTTCTGAGGCTCGGGTCTCAGAACTCTAAACCAGACTCTAAGTCTACGTTCACACCGCAGGTCAACTCCGATTTTTTAACCATGTGACACAATTCTGATTGGTTCTAACCCGACCCCCGACGACCTCTTCAAGGTCATCGATGAACCCTGAAGCTCATGTGAGGAGATTTCTACGTTTGTGAAAGAGACTCATAAAACCGCCGTCAGCGTCGTCACTGAGAGTCCGTGTCTCTGAGGAAACAGCTGTTTTCACTGTGTCCTCATTAAATATTCATAATAAAGATGAGACTCTTTCAGTATGTGGAGGACACGATCTGCAACAACTGCTCTGTCCACAGGGGGCGCCAAATCTCCAGCAGTTCAAAGTTCCTGACAGGATCTTTAAAGAGAAGCTGAAGTAATGATGATCGTCGTTCCTCAGACTGAACTTCCACAGGGTTCAAAAACCTCGAGGTATTTCCGATCACCTGACCGGAACCTCGCCGCTCCACAGGAACTTCCTTTAACCAGCAGAGCGTCTTTTTTAACGATTCGCCGCTTTGAACCGTTTCAGACAAAAAGAGAAATAAAGTCTCAGACCCCGCCCCCCCATGAAGGTCACAGGTGTTCAGAGGTTTTAGTGATGTGTCTGTGCAGGTATGTGCCCTTAAATAAACAAGTGATGTGACCTTTTAGCTCCGCCCCCTGTCACCCTGTGACCTCTGTGTAACATCGTCGTAGTCCTACAGTAAAGTGCACTTCTTCTTCTTCTTCTCCTCATTTCTAGATGCTTCAAAACAAGCACGATAAAAAACACTCAGAGGCTCCGCCCCCTCTGAGATGAAGGTCGGACTCAGCCGGGAGTCTGGGGGTCCGTTCAGGAAGACTCAGAGGGTCCAGAGTCCAGAGTCCAGTCCTGCGTACCTTAATGTGCAAATTTTCTGAAGTCTGGTCCTCCTGGTTTCAGCGTCTGAAGGTCTGGACTCCTCAGTGCAGGAAGACCTCTTCTAGTTCATGTGCCCTCCAGGTCTGAGTCCACCTGTGAGACGGACTCAGGGTCACACAGGGTCTCTCCAGGTCCTCCTCAGCCCCCCCATGTCGCTACCTGATCCTCCCGTTACTTTTAACGGGTCCCAGTTCAGACTTTGGATCCGGGGACAAAGAGCTCCAGGAGGTCTTGGAGCAGGGTCCCACGGCGGGGCAGGAGGAGGTCTGTGTGGTGCAGACGTCCCCTGTGACCCAGAAGTCCCTCACGCTGGTGTCCACCCAGGCCTCCAGGCTCTGACCCACCAGCTGGGCCTTCTGCTGGGCCTCCTGCAGGGCCGCCTCCTGAGGGGGGAGCTTCAGGACCGAGCTCAGGGTCTGGAAGCTCTGCTCCAGGTACAGGTTTCCTGGAGGACCAGCGTGGAGCCAGCTGTCCTCGTCTGAGAGAGACAAAGACACGATTAAAGACGAGAAGAAGATGACGAGAAACCTTCAGCTAGGGCTGTACGATATATCGTTTGATCGTCGTCATGGCGATGTACGTGTGCGCCATAGTCACATGTCGGAGGGGGATGAGCTCATCTAATTTCTAGGGTCGCTGACTGAGATACAGATTTGCTCTTCACTCAGTTACCAATCAGACGACCCTGACAGCTGTCAATCAAAATCAGAGAGGAGGAAACCCCGCCCCCGCACAGGGAGGGAGTCGCTGGAGCTGCCGGTGTTGAGCTGAGAAACGCCGAGAAGGACTTTGGGAACATTCCTCATCACTGTTTATCCCACAAATAAGAACTGTGTGGGTTTAAATCGTACATTTCCACGGACCACTCACTGAGCAGTCCCACGGTCGCCGTGGTAACCGGCTCACCGAACGATAGAAAAACCACCGAAGATGAAGACGTGTTTCAGTTATCAAGAATTATTTCGGTTCTAAGAAGGATGACGTCGACTAAAACACGTCTTCTGTGTTCATCTGTTTCCACGGTAACGTCCAGATCAATAAAAACTAAAACTATCTCAGAGACAGAAGACAGTCTACTAACAGATCAGAGAAGGTTAACTGTCCTCAAGACTTCAGCAGAAACTCAGATTCAGGTCATCTGATGAAATTTCATCGATTTTTTAATATCGTGATAAAAATCGCAGGTTAAAAAAATCGTTATTTTTTTCCGATATGGTGCAGCTCTACGTTCAACGCTCGAGTCTGAGATCTTCTCACCTTTGCGGAGCGACTCCTTCTCTCTGAAGGTCAACGGCATGACCAGGAATCGAACCTCCGCCACCCGCTCCCACTGTTTCAACACACGAACCGTCCAGGTGCCGGGCCGCAGGGGGCGCTGCAGCGGCGGTTTGTACTGCGTGTACTCCGCGTCCACATCAACGGTGATGTCATACGACGCCGCCACCACCAGAGCCGGGTCGATCCACACGATGGTGGCGGTGAGGTTGGGACCGCGCGCCCACTTCTGGACCGCCAGGGGTTCACTCAACGGGCCGATCACGCCGCCGAAGTTCCGGAAGATTCTCTCTTTAGGGTCCCAGTCAGTGCCGATCTGTCGGGGGGGTGAAGTCGGGGTTAGACGTTTTTTTCACGATAAATTACAACGATTCAAAAAACACGAACAAACCTGATCTTAAAACCGCTGAGTGTGACTTTAACTGATAAAGGAGGAGGCGGGATCACGGCGAACCGTCTCAGTTCTGATGAACGGAGACGAGACTCTTTAAAAAAACTTAAATTTAGAAAATCAAACTTTTTCAGGTCAGATTCTCACTGTGATGAAGAAGAAGAACAGAGGAGGAGGAGGAGGAGGAGGAGGAGGAGGAGGAGCTCAGAAACACTCTGATCCAAACTGAACCAGAATCTGGTTTCCAGAATCTGCTCCTCTTTACAAACATCTTCACTCTGGTTGGTCGTCAGAGTTCAGATCTCGCTCTGATTAAACTCTTTCTTACATCAGGAGGAGAATCTTCCTCCGCGGCGTTTTTCTCTTGATATTAAAGTTTGGCGAGAACAGAGACGGCGGCGGCGGAGGTGATAACGCCGAGCTCTGATCTTCAGGAGGACAGGAAGTTCACTCACCTCCAGATTCTTCAGCCTTTCAAACTCCTTCAGGTTCGTCTCCAGGACCAGCGTGGCCTGAGGCACCGCCCACATCTCCAGCGTCTCCCTGACCTTCGACCCCACCGCCTGGACCTCCTGACGTACCAGGTATCCTTGGAAACGGTCGTCATAGAAGTATAGGTGCACAGACAGAGGGAAGCCCACGGGTTCAAACCTGCAGGGGAACAGGAGAGCGAAGGTGAGGTTCTGGAGCGCAGAGACAGTTTCCTGTTCGATGGCTGCGAGGAGAGAGCGTCCTCAGACCTGCACGCCTCCATGTTGCTCTGAGACGTCTCCAGATGTTTGAGGCCCAGGCGGAAGAAGGAGGTGTAAGCGGTGAGAGCGAGGTCGCTGAGCGCGCTCACGCCGTCCGGCTGCTCGAACAGACTCTCCCAGTACGCCTTGACGGCCACGGTCCCCGGAGCGTACTGACCGTACAGGTGAGTGTCCAGGATGTCGATGGCCTCCTGGTTCACCGACGACTCGAACTTACGGGCGAAGAACGTCGGGCGGCTCAGTTGCTGTAACAGAAACACCGAGTCAGAGGAGTAAAACCCTGAACCTGGACTCACCGCGGCAGAGACCCTCACCTGGATCCGGATCAGGTCCTGAGGTTTGAAGTCGTTGGGGGAGCAGCCGCACCAGTCCACGATGTGTTTGTACTGACACTTACAGCCCAGCTTACGGTTCCAGTTGGTGACCCGCAGGTTGTTGTCGACCAGCGTGTCGCACATGTGACTGTTCCCGAGGACCGTGTGGAAGAAGGACTACGAGGAGAGACAGGAACCAGGTCTGTTAGGAACCCTCCCAGGTGGGTTTGGGTTTTAGTTTTAAACTCTAGAGACTTTTTTTCCTCAAAAACACTGAAAACTGTCCTGACGGTGAAAACAGAGAAACTTTAACATTTCTGTGAGTCAGTTATCGTTAAAGAGCTCAGAGACGTTTTCACACCGAGACACAAATCTGCAGGATGTTTCCTAAAGTTAAAGACTGTAAGAGTTTCCTCGGTCACTCGTTTGTTTCCAGTCTGAGAGCGTGTAAAAGGTGCTGAACGGCCGTCATCAGAAATCACAGCGCTCTGTTCTTAGAGGTCAGAGGTCGTCTGTGCGTTCACTCTTGAGGCTTTTTTAGCCAGTAGAGTCAAAAATACCTTCATAATTTTTTAACCAAAACACTTTTTGTTTTGGAGCGTGGAATCATTTTTGGAAACTCAGTTTGACAAATATTTTAGTTTTTATTTACAAGGTCAAAAATGTGGTCAGATGTCCTTCTCTTTGGTAATCTGTGGCTGTTTTTGTCCAATAACTTTAGCTGCTGTAAAAACATGACAGATAAATATTTATTTGTTTTTGCTCAAATCTTTTTGTCAAACTGAGTCATTATCATAGCATTAATTATTATTATTATCTTATTATGAATTTCAACCCTTTAAATACCAAATTCAGAGGTGATTTGGGTAAAAATCACATTATATGACAATATTTTGATATAAAAATGATTTTTTACGTGCTATCACACCCTTGGATATTTCATATCTTAGTAACAACATTAACTCTGATGCATTTTTATTTTTTTCACAGTATTGGGTTAATTCTTTTTTCCATCTTTCTGGCCTGTAGAGGCTGTTAAAACAACGAACTTCAGCTGCTGTAAAAACAAATCAGATATTTTTTTGTGTTTTTGCTCAAATGTTTTCGTCAAACTTCGTCCAGATTAAAATAATTTAATACAGCATCAAACTGACCTCCATTATAACCACATTATAGGAGTTCACAGCCATGACTCTCCATGATCATTCATTCTGAGATGGTGCTAATGCTGTGTGTGTGTGTGTGTGTGTGTGTGTGTGTGTGTGTGTATATGTGTGTGTGTGTGTGTGTACCTCTTTAATATGTTTTTATAGCAGCTAAAGTTAGGATTAAAGAGGATTAAATGTTGGTGTAAAGTTAAATTTGTGTTTCAGAAAATCAGGTGGTAGATTTCCTCCTTTTTGTCACATGTTCAGTTCAAACTCTCCGAGGTCACATCCTGTTTAATCAAAGGTCATAATTCCGTTAAATCTCGATCAAACGGTCTAATTACTGTCTGTCGATGTTGAAGGAAACTCGTCTGAAGGGAAAAACCTGAGCGGCGCCTCCTCAGATGTGAAAGCACACACTCAGATAAGCTCAAGTAAACCTCCTCTCGCCGGCTGTCGCTGCCGCACGCCGAGCCTCAGAGCTTAAAGTCTTACATTTCCTCTGAGCTGACAGGAGACGATGCGCCGCCGCCGCCGCCGCCGCCGCAGATCAAACTGTCTGTCTAACTGTGGGGGGTAAACAGACCACCTGAGGCGGGCTTACCTCGGCGGGGAGCAGAGCGTAGGAATAGAACTGCTTCAGCCCCGACACCAGGGCGTCCTGGGAGTTGATGACGTACTCCACAAAGCGGCGGGTGAGCGCAAACCAATCAGAGCCACCGGAGACCTCCAGGCCGTAGGGGATGCTGCGTTCGCCGAGACGCCACATGTGGTTGTCACACTCGTGGAAGAGGCGGTCGAGGCCCTGCTTCTTGATGAACCTTCAACACAGAGAGGGACGTCAGACTGAAACGCCGCCATGGAACGCAGCACAGAGGAATCAGGTCTGTCTTCACTTCCTGTCAGCTGTGAGCGGCGCAGAGTTTCAGTCTAAAACGGGTCCGTTCAGCCGCACAGACTCACAGGGAGGATCTCTACATCTGAAAGTACGGACTATCCCTTTAATCTGGGGAAACACAGTTTCATCTCTGAGCGCAGAGTCAAACTCCGCCCTCCTCCGTGTTCCAGCTGGTTACTCACCGGGCGTTTTCTCTCCCGTGGGACTTGAGGAAGTTTTTGTCTCTTTGCTGCGACAGGAAGGAGACGAGCTCATCGTTGGTCCTGCAGGAGGAGAATCAGAGTTCAGAGACAGACGAGGGAACGACCATCAGAACCATCAGAACCATCAGAACCATCAGAACCCACCTGGTGGGGAAATCTGTGGCGCTGAGGTTGATGAAGAAGTCCCACTTCCAGTCCAGCATGGAGAGCAGGTCCTGCATGCTGTGGAGGTACGCCTTCAGGAGGCTGGCCCCGCCCCAAATGGTGACCATCCTCCAGGACGTGGCTCGGATGTTGGGGTACTGCTCAGCGATCTGGAGGACCTCCCGGTGCATGTAACCGGAGCGCTGCGAGAAATCAGAGAACGCCATCAAAACAGGTTTTAATGGAAGAGGTCATCAACGATCAGGAGGTCAAAGGTCAGAGGATGGAGGAGAGAGGAGAGAGGAGGAGAGAGGAGAGAGAAAAGAGGAGAGAGGAGAGAGGAGAGAGGAGAAAACCATCAAAACAGGTTTTAATGGAAGAGGTCATCAACCATCAGGAGGTCAAAGGTCAGAGGAGGGAGGAGAGAGGAGAGAAAATAGGAGAGAGAGAAAGGGGGGAGAGGAAAGAGGAGAGAGGAGAGAGGGAGGAGAGAGGACAGAGGAGAGAAGAAAGAGGAGAGAGGAGAGAAAATAGGAGAGAGAAAAGAGGAGAGAGGAGAGAGGAAAGAGGAGAGAGGGAGGAGAGAGGAAAGAGGAGAGAAGAGACTTTTGACTTTTAACAAACTTTATTTTTGAACCATTCTGACAAAATCTTAAAACCACATTAGTACTGTTGGTTTAAATAAATAGTAACTCACGCACACACACACACACACACACACACACACACACACACACACACACACACACACACACACACACACACACACACACGCACACACACACACAAGCACATACACTAAAAAACCAGTCCTTTAGAAATTCAGTACTAAGGAGCCATTTTCCTCCAGTGAGCACAGGACTTGCCCGATAGCCCACACATCCCTGAAACCATCCAAATTTTCTGTCAGTTTATAAAAGGTGTGCTCAACCCTGAGACGTGCCGCCACCAAGCCTTTGAGGCAACAGACCGGGTCAGTCCAGTCCACCCCAAGAACCTTGTTTTTTCGAGTCTTCCAGATGGCTAACTTAGCACTCGCAAAAACAAAATTGATCAGTAGCACTGATTTCTTTTTCTTGGGAGTGTATTTGGGTCCAAAAACAAAAAGTGGGAACGAGAAAACCTCCCCCAAACCCCCCACCCACTCCTGCACCACTTTAAAAAGAGCTGCCAGTCTGGGACAGGACAGCACCAGGTGCTCTACAGTCTCTGACTGGGAGCAGAATGGACATCCCTCCCCATTGGCCGGATCAAGGTGAGCTCTGTACCTGTTTGTGGCTATCGTTCCGTGTATAATCCTCCATTGGAGATCCGCTGTGCGTTTCTCAACAGGAGGCTTATACAGGACCCTCCAGCTGCCATTAGGGGAAAAGTCTGTGCCAAAAACCTCTGTCCACCTCGACTCTCTGACTCCCGTGAGGGAGCGCAGGTTTAGTACTTTAACACAGCTGAGGTACAGCTGCTTCCCTGTGCAGGAGCTGAAGGCTCCCAGTACTGGTCTCTGTAATGACAACAACAGTCCACTCTCCTCCCTCCATTCTCCAACCGCAGGACTCACACTCAGGGTGGGGAAGATGTAGTCTTGGCCCTCTCTCCAACATTCAGCCAAACCCCGTCTCTGAGCAAAAGTCCGGAGGGGCCCCGACAGAGACTGCCACACCTCCTTCACCAGGTTCAGCAGCACTCTGGTAGATCTTACTCCAGTCATGTCAGCCAGACTCCCTACAGGTGTTCGTGTGAGATGTCCAAGCTTAACTATTCCAGCTTGAGTGAGGACACTTTTTAAGGTGTTAGATAAAACCGTGGTGGTTACGAGAAGGTCATTGTCAAAAAGTGGTTCCTCAAACAGCCACATCCCAGGCTTAGGGTCAGATGGTCGAGTGGCAACCAGAGTCCTCCACGCAACAAACACAGAGCTGTAGAAGGGTGTAAGATCCGTGAAGGTGAGAGCAGGGGGCTTCAGGAGAAACAGCTGTTTGTCGAGGCGAAGCCGCCCAGCCTTCCGGAGCAGCAGCCGAGCTACATCCAACCAGCAGTGAGAAGGACCGTACAGGAAACGTTGAGCTGCCTGAAGCCTGAAGGCAGCGGTCCTGGAGGCGATGTCTATCAGGCCCTGCCCCCCCTCTGCCACAGGAAGGTACAGGACTGACGCTCGAAGCCAATGGTGACCCGACCAGAAAAAGTCCACCAGGAGTCGCTGCAGCTGTCCCACGAGGCTTGGTGGAGGGTCCAGAACTTGGAGCCTGTGCCACAGAGACGAGGCCACCAGGTTATTGACGATCAGAGCTCTTCCCCTGTAAGACATCTGAGGTAGCAACCATTTCCATTTAGATAACTTGGCTTTTATCTTTTCCAGCACTCCCTCCCAGTTTTTAGCAGTGGTTTCCTCACTCCCCAAATACACTCCCAAGATCTTGAGCCCTCTGCTACCCCACCTAAGGCCACCAGGAAGACTAGGGGTGCTTCCTGCACTCCAGTGGCCGATTAAAACTGCCTCGCTCTTCTCCCAGTTTACTTTGGCTGATGCAGCCCTCTCATACAGATCCAGGCAATGCTTAAGTTCTTTAACATCTTCCTGGCCCTGAACAAAAACATTTACATCATCAGCATATGCTGACACAATCAAAGGCCGGCTCTGAGCCGGTTCAGGCAGACACAATCCCCTTAACCGCCTCCTGAGCAAACAAAGAAGGGGCTCAATGGCCACACTGTACAGCTGACCAGATAGGGGGCAGCCCTGCCTGATGCCTCTGCTCACTGGTACAGGACTGCTTAGTCCACCCCCCACTTTAACTACACAACATGCACCCGTGTACAACAGCTTCACCCAGGACAAGAAGTGCTCCCCAACACCAAAGGCCTGCAGTGTGGAAAATAAAAAGGAGTGATCAACACGATCGAAGGCCTTCTCCTGGTCAATAGAGAGTACACCAGTCTTTAAATTATAGAGTCTGCACACATCAAAAATGTCTCTCATTAAAAACAGATTGTCCAGGATGGATCTGTCAGGGACACAGTAGGACTGATCAGCACCAATAAAAACATCCATAAAAACCTTCAGTCTATTAGCTAAAACCTTTGACAGTACTTTATAGTCGCTACATAACAGGGCCACTGGTCTCCAGTTTTTAAGTAGGGTGAGGTCCCCCTTCTTGGGTAGCAGCGATATTACTGCCCGCCTGCAGGAAGCTGGAAGAGTTCCCCTCTGGAAGGACTCCCGAAACACGTCCAGAAGATCATGTCCCAGGGTATTCCAAAAGTGTTTGTAAAAATCCGCTGGTAACCCGTCCATTCCCGGTGCTTTGCCTGAGGCCATGTGTTTTACTGCAGAGGTTAGCTCCTCCATGGTAATGTCGAGGCTCAGGGCGTCCCGATCTGCTGGGCTCAGCTGAGGAAGGTCCTGCAGGAGTTCAGCTGCAGCCTCTCCATCACATTGTTCCGCTCGAAACAGCTCCGAGTAAAAGGACACTGCATGCCTCCTCATCTCAGCGGGGTCTGAGGTTAACCCCCCGTCAGGCAGACTGAGACACACCATTTGTTTTTTTTGGCCTTCTGACTTCTCCAGGTTAAAAAAGAAGGTTGTTGGTGCATCAATGTCCTTGATGGCGGTGAAGCGGGCTCGGACCAGGGCTCCTTTGGCTTTCTCCAGGAGGAAGGAGTTCAGCTGCTGTTTTTTGGAGAGCAGCTGCTCAGGGTTCCCCACAGGCACACCCTCCAGCTCCCCGATCTCTGCCTCCAGTTGGTCCATGGCCCTCCGGACGTCAGCAGTGGAGTAGGCGGTGTACTGCTGGCAGAACACCCTAATCTGTCCCTTTCCTACCTCCCACCACTGACCTAGAGAGGGGAAATCCTCCTTCCTTGACCTCCATTCAGCCCAAAATAATTTAAAATTATTACAAAAGTTAAAATCATGTAAAAGCTTAACATTAAAATGCCAGAATGACCTGGACTTTCCAGGAGAGGTTAAAACCATTTCTAATAAAACTAAGTGATGGTCTGTGAAGCCAACAGGATGGATTTGACACCTGGCTGCACGACTGCTAAAAGAAGAGGACATATAAAATCTGTCGAGTCTGGCTGCACTGACCATGCCGTCAGAGACTCTCACCCAAGTGTACTGTTTATCGGTGGGATGTTTTAACCTCCAGATGTCGACCAGGTTAAACTCCGTCAACATCTGAGCCAGGAAAGAGGATGATTGGGACTGGAGCTCCTGCCCTATCCTGTCTAAGGTGCCATCCGTACAGCAGTTCCAGTCCCCTCCCATTATTATGCACTCTCCCTGACTGCTGCTGTTCCCTAAAACGTTTTTTAATAAATTAAATAAAACTAATCGTTCAGAGCTTTGATTGGGTGCATAGATATTAAGAAAAGTGAAAGCAAACCCCAGAATTTCCACCTTCACCATCAAAGCTCTTCCCGCCATGATTTCTGAGCTGGATAAAATGTTTACCGGTAAGGAGGGGGAGAATAAAATACCCACCCCAGCACTCCGGTTGGAGCCATGGCTGAGTGCGTACTGCCCCCCCCACCAAATACCCCAGTCTGTCTCATTAACAATGTCACTGTGTGTTTCCTGTAGAAAGACGACCTCTATCCTTTTCTGTCTGATAATCTCAGACACTAGAGCTCTTTTCTGTGGACTTCTACCCCCATTAATATTTAAAGATGCAACTGTAAAGGGCTGCATGTGAGGAGAAGACAGACAGAGCAGCAGGAAAGACAGACCAACACAGCAAAGAGAAAACACCTGGTATTGTACAATCATTCTGGATTACTTACAAACTTTCCTTTTTTTCAATGTCTGTTTACCTTTAAGAATTTTCCTCACATTAGACGCATGCTTTTTGAGGCGATACCTTTTCTTATCACTTAAAAACTCCTTACCTACGACCTTCTGCAGAGTGTCCACAGACCGGACAAACTTCTGCATATCTGGGAAATAGTCTGTGACCTCCACTGATCTCCCAAAGGAGTCATCTAGAAACTCTGTCACCTCCTCAAGAGAGTATAGGTCTGGATTTATTGACACACTGTCTGCTACAGAGACACAATCGGAGTCTACATCAGCATCTGAGAAACCTACTGCCTGTTGACTGTGAGCTGGAGCAGGCCGAGAGTCAGTCCTCAGCTGCTGCGCTGTGCCAGCAGCCTCCTCCTGCATCGGCTCACCTGCAGCAGCCCCACCCTGCTCAGGAGCGCAGGTCTCCGCCTGCCCTGCTGTGTGAGCCCCATCCTGCTCCACACCGATCTCATCCTCACACTCTTCAGTCACACAACTCAAGGGCTGATTTTTCACCATTCCAGGTCCAAACCCCAAAATAGACTTTAGCGCCGCGGCTCCGGGGCGCGCACCATCCGCCGCCCCGCGCACCGGGCCGGCGGCGGCCACCGCCGAGCCCGCGGGACCGGCGGCAGCCGCCGCCGAACCCACGGAGCCCACGGCAGCAGGCGCCGGACCCGAGGGACCCGCGGCAGCCGCCGCCGGACCCACGGGACCCGCGGCAGCCGCCGCCGAGCCCGAGGGACCCGCGGCAACCGCCGCCGGACCCACGGGCCCCGCGGCAGCCGCCGCCGAGCCCGAAGGACCGGCGGCAGCCGCCGCCGAACCCACGGAGCCCACGGCAGCCGCCGCCGGACCCGCCACACCCGAGACGGCCGCAGCACCGCCCCACACCGGCCTACCGGCCCCACCGCTCACCTCCCTGCCGTCATCTCCAGCGGGTCTCACCGTGTGCTGTCGGTGAGGACAAGCGACACGTTTGTGGCCCACGTCTCCACACTCAAAACACTTCATACTCCCTGAACTAGCATACACCATGTAAAACCCTTCCTCGTGTTTTACACGGAAGGACACATCCAGTGTCTGAGCTGGAGAGTCTAAAAACATGAAGACCTGTCTCCTCAGAGACTGAACATGCTTTAGCTTAGCATCTTTACATCCCAAAGCAACAGTACGAAAACCACTGGCGAACTTACCGAACCGCTTGAGCTCCCGTTCCAGCGCTTCATTCGGGATGAATGGAGGGACGCCGGACACGGTGATCCGCGTGGACGGCAAAGCCAGCGGGGAAACTTGTATAAACTCCTCGTTGAGGGTTAATCCGTCCTCAATAAGTTCAGTGACATGTGTCTGTTCTTTGAGAAACACTACCACGGCTTTGTTCATGCGGGAGGCATATGAGATATTACCGTGGCCCACCTGGTCTCCCACAGCCAACAGGACCTGCTCCACAGAGGAGGCCGGCGGTGGCACCAGCCTCACGCCGTGTCTCAGGGACGCTGGCGGAGGTGGCGTCTCAGAGGACGCCATCCTCGCCACGAGGCACGAAGAAAACACACAAAAAAAACACTGAACTGTTTAACCAAAAGTTATGAACAAATAATCCAAACAATGATCATTCAATACAGAGACGATAGAAGAAAGAAAAGAAACGAAATTAGAAAAAAAGTTGAATCAAAGATTGATTCGCTCTCAGCTCTCAGCACTCACACGCCATCTCCAGAGAGAGAGAGAGAGAGACAGAGAGAGGAGAGGAAAGAGGAGAGGAAAGAGGAGAGAAGAGAGAGAAGAGAGGAGAGAGGAAAGAGGAGAGAGAGAGGAGAGAAGAGAGAGGAGAGGAAAGAGGAGAGGAAAGAGGAGAGAGGAGAGAGAGGAGAGAGGAAAGAGGAGAGAAGAGAGAGGAGAGAGGAAAGAGGAGAGAGGGAGGAGAGAGGAGAGGAAAGAGGAGAGAGGAAAGAGGAGAGAAGAGAGAGGAGAGGAAAGAGGAGAGAGGAGAGAGAGGAGAGAGGAAAGAGGAGAGAGGAGAGAGAGGAGAGAGGGAGGAGAGAGGAAAGAGGAAAGAGGAGAGAAGAGAGAGGAGAGAGGAAAGAGGAGAGAGGAGAGAGGAGAGAGGAGAGAAGAGAGAGGAGAGAGGAGAGAGGAAAGAGGAGAGAGGAGAGAGGAGAGGAGAGAGGAAAGAGGAGAGAGGAAAGAGGAGAGAGGGAGGAGAGAGGAAAGAGGAGAGAGGGAGGAGAGAGGAGAGAGGAAAGAGGAGAGAGGGAGGAGAGAGGAAAGAGGAGAGAGGAGAGAGGAGAGAGGAGAAAAGATACATAAAGACCTGCTCCTATCAAAGTCCTGCTGAGTTCAGAGTCTGAAAACTCAGCGTCACCAAAAAACACGCCGGCGGTTTACGTCCTAAAATCCACACCGCCGCCAACATTCAGACTCCTCCCATGTTTGTTTGTTATTTTTTGGTTCGATGAAGAAAAATCTGAAGAATCGGTTCATTTCCAAAAGTCCTTCAAAAGTTCAGACCTTAGAACTCGGACTCGTTAGAAGAACCGATCAATACTTTAAAAACTGGATCGTCTGTTTTAAAGGTTTGAAGTCGATGAATTTTGTAAAAAAACGGATTTTCCTCAAACTCTTTTTAGGTGAAGAAGGAAAATCTACAACATTCCCATCAGCAGACGGTGTTTCTGACGCCTCACCTTCAGTCAGAGTCATGTGACACATAAACACGCTGAACCCACAAACACAGAGCAGCTGAAACAGAGGACTAAGATAAACCGAGCCTAAAGGAGCGAGGAATAAAAGACGGAGGGTTTAGAGCAGCTGCAGAGATTCTCAAGGAGAGACGAGGACGTCTCCGTCTTTAAAGAGTTTTTTTTATCAACTTCAACCCAAAATGAGAAGAATTACCACCTCATTACCAGGACGCCTGTTTCCAAAGAGAGGCGGCTCGTAAACGCTCTGAGACGAGAAATGAGCCGTTTAAGAGAGAATAAAACCTTCAATCCAGTTTAATGAAAGACAAACAGAGTCAGAGACACTCTGTCCTCATACTGAGGACAAAAACACAGAGACTGTTCTGGTAACTCTCCCTGTTCACCTCCGTTCCTGATATTCAGAGTCGATCGTCTTTGTTTGTCCCTCAAAGCTTCGTCCTCGTCCGTCTGCTCTCGTTGGTTTTTAAAGGTCTAAAAAAAGTCCTGAATTCTTCGTGGACCTCTCTGGATCAGTCCCAGTGTTTTGTTGTCGTGTTCACAGAGCAGAAAACAGGCGACAGACGGACTCTCAGAGTCTCAGTCCTCTCAGCAGGACTTTAAAGACTGTCTGGTGCTGGACTGAGTCCAGTTCAGCCCGACCCGTTTTCCTGCCTCTGCTCTGCTGCAGACTCAGAGATGGACGAGCTGAACTGTGAGTGTCCCGCTGACTCCTTATTCATCAGCGCCTCGCTCTGCGGCGTCCTCTGGCAGCAGAACAGACAAACTCGCCGGGACCCCGACAACCTTCGCTGTTTCACAGGTGCGCCTGTTCCCCCTCACCTGAGCGCTCTGCCCCACCTGACTCTTCCTCGTCTAAATCCAGATCACAAGAATAACCAGACTGGGCTGGATCCAGGCTAATCCCCTTTACCACGCCGTGAGACCACGCCGTGAGACCACGCCGTGAGACCACGCCGCGAGCCCACGCCGTGAGACGACTTTAACCTTCATGACAGAGGAAGACCGGAGCAGTACGAGCGTTTGTGAGCTGAGCGGAGTCAGCAGGGTCACAGACGAGTCCTAAACATTTATCCTGAGTGTAAATAAGGAAATAAATATATATATATTTATTATTGATATATATATACATGTATTTAAATGTAAATATAAATATCTTTATATATATCTGTAAGTACAGAGCGCTGAGAGGAGGAGGAGGAGGAGTCATGATCCAGGTCAGAAAAACCCTCTCGGGTGTCTCTGTTCTGATCGGACTCAGGTCCTCAGCTCAACACTGAGGGCAGAGGAGGAGGTTCTGGGTCCACCCGGTCAGGGTCTCCTCCTCCTCCTCCCCCTGACACACCTCCTTCAGAGGGAGAAACCAGGAGGAGGAACTCCTGATCTCCTGCTCCTGTTTGTGAGTCCAGACCTCCTTCAGAGGAAACTCCTTCAGCCTCCATGATCGTCTCCTGCTGGTCAAAGTTTACAGTCTGGAGGGTCAAATAAACACTTGGCCTTCAGGCTCCGCCCCCTCCTCACCATGAGGACTCCCTGCGGCTCTGTGGGTCCACTACCTGCAGGATCAGACGTCTGGACCAGGTGATCCAGGTGTCAGACGAAGACTGTGGAGGTTTGAGTAAAAATGACGGATTGTAAAAGTGTAAATATGAAAGTTTGGAGCAGAGATGGAGGTCGACCTCCTGATCATGAGAGGATGTTAAAGAGCGAGTTTCAGACTCGACATCAGACTGCAGTTAAAGAACGTTAAACACAGACGTTAACGAGGACTCACACTCTCAGTTTTAGATCAGTCTCTCAGCTCCGTCCCTCACGT